CATTCTGGATTTCTGCAAAAAAAACCATGCATGAAGAGTCGAAGTGCGCGTCAATCACGACTGAAATGACTTTATGTCTCTTATCACGTTCCGTGAGTTGAAGAATGCCACTAATTAATATCAATATGGTATACACTGTATTCCATAGTAGTGGCACTCGAGGATGGCCGCATTCAAGATCCATCGCGGCAGCGGCGGAAGAGGTTAGTTCACCTTCTGTCTGCGTATTTCGTTTGTGACATTCGGGGGATAAAGTCAAGGCTGGCTAGGAGGTGGAGGAGGTTTTTGGTGGGGTAGTGCATGATATCTGAATCTCTCACCACTTTAGGCCTCTAAAAAGACGAACATGCTGAAACGTTAGGCCGCCAGTGACAATAAACATCTATCTACTAAACTCGGTTGGCTTATTTACATACTAACATTTCTACCAACAATGCTAAGGTTAATTAAATGAAAACTCGCAGGATTTTTTTTTCTGCAAAAATCCAGTTTTTAGGTGATAAAATTTTTTGATTTGCTTTCAAACTTTATCTGAATTTCGACTTGGATGGATTTTTGGTGGTCATCATTATGCAGAATTTGCTTTACTCTATTAAATGATGTCCCAAGTCTGCTAGGAGAGCAAAAATAGCTTGGGTTCAGAAAAATGGGTTTCGTTTTTGGGACAGGCGACTATCAGAAATGACGGGCGAAATTTTTTTTCAGAACGCCTTGAAGGACGAGTAGTTTCTCTACTGCGTAGCCACGAGTCACTAGGTTGGGATTAGCTGTACAAAATTTTCTAAATGGTATTTGAGACTTGAAAAACTTGATAATTAAAAGTTTTTTTGCTTTTTCTGCGGCGGAAAAATCCACTTCACGTTTTATGTTCAGTTAAGTAGTCTGTATTGGTCTTGATAGCGTTCCCACCGTGTCGAAAAAGAACTCGAAAAGGAAGGAAAGCAAATCCCATTAGCGCTGTGCTTTATTTGGCTTTGTTTCCAAATGTCCTTCTTATGAATGAATCAAGTCAAAACAGTGCAACAAAGAAAATTTTCAGGTTTAGAGCAAAAGAAAGAGTTTAGGGGATAAACGAATTCTGTCGCAAGATGGATAATTAAGTGGACGCTCGTTTTGAGAATGCTTTCTGGAGAACCTTCATTAAATTAATAAAGCCCTAATTTATAGGCAGAAATGTCTTCACTATGGACCAATAAATCTTAAGCTCATCATGGTGCGGCGCACCTGACTTTGTCAAAAAAATTATCAAGCTAAAGATGGGCGTTCATTATAAAGCCTCAAAGACAATGCCCTATCAAACTGGTTTGCTAAATAGATCTTCAAATCTCGGCCAAGCATGCATAAAGCACCGGCTAATCGCATCTATGTTATGTCCTGTCTGGTATGTTGAAAAGCTTGCTGTGTTCTTTGTGATTTTCAAAGAATTTCATTGCATCTACATATGTATGATATTTTTTCGCTAAAGCTGTGGTGAGGTAGGGTGTATATGAGTCCTTCTAGGTGCAGGATGTCTAAACTCTGGATTTGCCTCTTTTTGTCATTTTAAGAGATAATAGCGGGTAAGTCGGAGGTAACATTTGATAAAATAGGAAAAGAAAAAAGAGAAAAAGGATTGTGATGTCCTTGACGGTTTGTGCGATCAGCACTAGCAGTAGATTGATATCTTCATCGTCGTACGTTCGTTCGCCTCTCGCACATGGTGTCCCCAATTTTCGTACGAACGAACAGCTCCTAATGCGACTTGTCTCGTCGTTCGTTTTCCGTTTCCATATATGTACCTCTTCTACCGTTTCATTTCGCAGTTTTTGCCATTATTTTTGCTCTACCGTTTTTAGAAAACGCAATCTTTCATTGTGCGTAATTATATTTTCATCTTCGTTTTTCCTTTGTTGAATTTTGTAGGTGATCGATATATACTAAGTCAGAATAATTCTAATTTCGTTTGCTAGAAACTTCCCACATCCATCAACGACTGAAATGCGTCTTAGAAGTAGTTTATCGCTCAGCGAAAAGCAAATCGTCCGAAACTTTCATCGTTTCCGCGAAAAAGATCGAAATGAAGCGCACCGCATTTGGATAAGGGACGTCTCAATTTTGACACACATGCGTGCGAAAACTCGTCCAGAAAGTGTCAACTATCAGATGATTGATAAAAAGATTTTGAATGCTGCATTGTTGGCTAATACACATTCGGCATTTTTGAACCTCAGTCGAAAATCTTTCGAATGTCAGATTCTAATCAGCTATTCTGACCGATCTTTTCTCTAAAAATGTTCTTAAAGCTCTTCTATTCCTTCCTCCGGAAATGTTCTTTTAGCTCTAGCTATTAAACATATAGTATTTCCATTGACAGTCTTCCCTGCTTAGAACTACTTTATATGAACAGTAAATCAAAGGATTCGTAATTCGATATGAGACCTCTTGCCTCACAATTGCAGATTTGTTCTATTGTTGAAGGCATGGAGTCACGAGTCCACAGAGTTCTGACTGTTCTCGATTCAAATTCCTCGTAGTCTTGTTGTAACTGTCATATTGTTCCATGCTTACTCTTTTCATAACTTGACTTTTCATTCTCGCTTAGCTTAAGGAAAAAATAGGGAGTTTCCGTAGCAGCTTTTCGGAAATGGAGTCCACTAAGTTGCATTTCACTTTTCCCAAACTGATTGTATGGTACCGTTTATGAATCATTCATGATTCAATCTGAGCGTTCGGCCCCGGTCAGACTTCACGCGACTTAATCGTCGCGATCTAATCTCCAAGATTTCCATTCATTTTCATTTCACATTCAAAAATTTCGGGCTGGAAAAGTACCACAACCGAATGCAAGTTGATCGGCATGGAATGATGTTGTAACAGTTGTCTCGTCGCGATTCAGTCGCGACGATCAAATCGCGTGAAGTCTGCCCGGGGCCTTCAACAGTTTTGTAACATCTGGCTAATTTTATGAGTGTTTTGATAAGGAGTGGCAATTAGAACCTGGTAGGTTTCTATTGCATGTAGTCGTACGAGTCAGATTAATTTTTAAGAAGCTGGATTTGTAAGAGACTCAGTCCACGTACACCTTTCTATTACGTGTCCAGCTTGAACTTTTCTATGACTTCATTACATAGAAGTAAAATCTCCGCTAGTTTTGTGTTCCGGTTAAAGTAATGGTGTAGCAAAACTCTCAATATGGGCATTTTCGGGACAGTGCTAAATTAGAGACAACAAGGTCATTTCACCGGATAAAGTCCTGTAAAGTTTTTTTTATACAAAAAATAAATATTGTCAAAGATTTGACGTGCATTCTGCAGTGCTAAGATGTAGCGAAATTGATCTTACCACATTAGTGGAAGAGGTGACACAGGGTCAAGCAAGGGGTGTGGCACACGATCGCTGGTTACGACCCCCCCCCTGATTGCTGTCTTAATAAGACCCCCCTAAACTATACACTTAAGATACCATTACTTGAAGGCCCTGTCAAACATAATGGGCAACATATCCATAATTAGCATGTCGAATAACCCCTGTAGATAAAGTGTGAGCGGATTCTGAAGATTCAACATACTAGACTACCTAAGTGAAATGGTCATTTTTCAACATGCTTAACATTGTTTCAAAGGTGAATTAGCTATCCGTTTTTGCACTCAAGACAAAGCACTACTCCTTCTTTGTCCCTCAGGAATCCCGCTTCAGAAGACCTCCAAACTGTGGAATTAGAAGCCAACCAAAATCTCGTTTTTCCCATTTTTCGCTTTTAATGGCTGCTTTCACCAACTATTACTCAGAGCAAAGAAAACGAATTAGGCTAAAATTACTCCTTTGAAAACTAGGAGATCTAGGCTATCGATTCATATAAATACTGTCCGCTAAAATTGTTTTTTTTATATAGTTAGTGGCCTGCGGCACCCCCCCCCCCCCCCCTCAAAACCTGCGGCAGCCGCAGGTTTTGAGGGGCGGGGGTGCCGCAGGCCATTAACTATATCAAAAAAACAATTTTAGCGGACAGTATTTATATGAATCGATAGCCTAAACCTTGTAGATTCCATAGGACTATTTTGAGTCTATAAGGTTTAGGCTATCGATTCATATAAATATTGTCCGCTAAAAATGTTTTTTTGATATAGTTAATGGGGTGCGACACACCTCCTTAAAAGCTGCGGCGGCCGCAGCTTTTAAGGGGGTGTGCCGCACCCCATTAACTATATCAAAAAACAATTTTAGCGGACAATATTTATATGGATCGATAGCTTAGATCTCCTAGTTTTCATAGGAGTAATTTTAGCCTGATTCGTTTTCTTTGCTCTGAGTAATAGTTGGTGAAACACAGCCATTGAAAGCGAAAAATGGGAAAAATGAGATTTTGGTTGGCTTCTAATTCCACAGTTTGGAGGTCTTCTGAAGCGGGATTCCTGAGATGGACAAAGAAGGAGTAGTACTTTGTCTTGAGTGCAAAAACGGATAGCTAATTAATTTTTGAAACAAAGTTAACCATGTTGGAATTTGACCATTTCACTTAGGTAGCCTAGTATTTTGAACCTTCAAAAATCGCTCACACTTTGTCTACAGGGGTTATTTAACATGCTAATTATGGATAGGATACGAATATCATGTTATCACTACTATCAGATTACCCAACTACGACCCCCTCCCCTTTTGACTCCTCAATACGACCCCCCAGGTGTGGCGTGCCGCACCCCACGCTTGACCCTGAGGTGACATAGACGAAAATTCTGAAACACAAAATGGTAATGAAGTATAATAGTTTCTAAAAGCAATATAGCATTTTGATTTTGAAGTAATTTTGACTGTGAAATGGTTCGATTAGACATTGTGTACATGGCTTCGAGCAGCTGATCTTGCTAGGTTTCTCCAGTAACCTGTTCCAAAAAGTTTTTTTTTACTTTTCCCTTTTATCAACTCTCCCTCCTTTTCCGTATTACATATATCTTCTGCTTGTATAACGTCACACTATGTTATCCATCCAGCAGAGACATGACTAGTTTTATCGAAGCCCTTACAGATCGCCAACTGGTTTTGTGAACTCAGACAACGAAGGTGATGAAACGGCAATATAGGGTGGCCGTTCTGGGTGCATCGGCATGTGGAAAAACATCATTGGTAAGAGGATTCCATGATCACAAGTGACTTATATGACATTCGGAACAAAAAAATAGTGGAGCGGAGCTATAAAAAAGGGCAGATTATGAGAAAAAAACTTTAAAATGTTTGAAAATTAGCTCATGAAAAGCTTATCAAATCTAGTTGAATCAAAGTTAGCGGTTATCCTAGAAAAAAATAGACCTCTCAAAAATTCTAGAAATTAATTGGCTTTTAGATTCGACGATTTGTAAGCGACGATTACACTGAAACTTATGATCCTACTATCGAAGACAGATATAAGAAGACTTTGATGGTACAAGGATCATCCGCACATCTTGAAATTGTCGACACAGCTGGAAAGGTAAACTGTTTAAAAGTCAATTTTTATCATTTTGCGCCTAAGGCTGCGTCGTACGCTGAGCTCATGTTCGACCTAGCATCGTGTCGGGACCCACTACATGTGTTCCGTATTGATCCGGCACTAGCACGGTGCTAGCACGGCGCTGGAACAACCCCGGCATGCGCTGGGATTGGCAACTTCGAATGCTAGCTTGATGTTCATCCAAATTTTCTTCTATCTTTTAGAAGACGTTAATTTCCAATTTTTTCCATCAAAATTTCTCCTAACTTCAGGCGTTTTTTTTTTGAAAAATCTCAAATTTTTCTGGGTCTCCAAAAGAATTTTCAGGACATCCAAATTAACTTCAAAACGACTTTTTTAGGAGCTAGTAAACGAAATGCTGTCACGATATATTGCCTCCGCTGACGCTTTCATGGTAGTTTACTCAGTTGGAAGCAGGATGTCATATGAGCACGCATTATATCTTTTCTCACAAATTGCTCGAGTGAGAGGAGTGGATACGGTAAGTGACGCTTTGCTCGTAGATTATGACTGAAAGGCAACTCTGCGTTGCAAAAGAACTCCTCATCTGCACGACTCATAGGCACTGGCGCCTTCAAAGCATTTCTCCACTTTTAAAATCTTCCAAATGATACAAGATGTCCCTAAACTTTGGACCATCTAATAATAAGGGAAAGGATGATTTATATCTTGATCGCCCGCATTTGCCAGCTGATCATACACTTCTTGCATTTATACTTCTTTGATTTGTGACTTATAAGAAGCTTATTCCTATACTAATGTCATGCTTTCACCTCGTCGATTATAACTCATCAGAGATGTTATGACTATAACATAGAATCAATATTCAATAAAATACCTCGTTTGCTTCTTACAGATTGCTCGGATACTGGTTGCCGCAAAATGCGACTCAGACTACAGGGAAGTTTCACCAGACGAGGGCCATACGTTGTCAGCTCAGCTTCGTTGTTCATTTGCAGAATCCAGTGCCAAGATGAATATTAACGTCCACGAGGTAGATCAATCAAAATGATATTATTAGGTTGTCCCAAAAGTAAACTTCATTTTTGAATGAATTGAGCTGTTCTTGTTCTCCTTGCAGACCTAAGGTACCATTCGATAGAGCGGAGCAAGCTCTACAAAAACACCACCAAAGATCCACGTAATTCGTAACAGATAAAATTTGGGGCCAAAAATCAAGATTTTTCAGGTACCCTAAAAATCGTATCTCCTTCCAGAGAATTCCTACGGACTTCCAACTTGGTCTTTGTAAAGTATACATATAGTAGTACCCAAAAATGTTTTTGGCGAATTTTTTCCAGGCCTTAAAACTGAGAGAAAAAGATGGACCGAAATGCCCCCTTCTCGGGTTTTTTTATGTGAAACATAGTATTTCTCGAATATAAGAGCACATACAGGGGTAAGTTTTTGCAATTATACTTAGTAAGGCTAGTAGTATACAATGACATGTGTGGGAGGAGATGGGAGCGCAGTTTGCCATTTTTGGACAATTTTTGTTTCTCGCTTTCTATGCTCGGAAAAAATACAGTAAAGGCATATTTGGGTACTACTATGTGCCTACTGTATAATAGCCAAGTTGGAGGTCCGTAGGGTTTTTCTTCGCAGAAATCCATTTTTCAGGTGACAAAATTTTTTTCGATTTTGGCTTCAAACCATGGTATACGGCTTAGGCGGGCCCTTGGTGGTCCTTTTGTAGAGCTTGATCTGCTCTATCGAAAGATACCCTGAATATACCAAAACAACAAAAACAGCTTGAATTATTCAAAAAAGGAGTCTACTTTTGGGACAACCTAATATATTCCTGAACTGAAACTACTCACAATCAATGCGGGGCTATTTTGCACACTACAGTATGCTACCACACTCTTGTGGGTTCTGCAGAGAATTGCTGTTTCACCGTACTAGGGGGAGACAGTCCCCATCTCCACACACAGATCTATCCCCTAATCTTGGAATCGTTTCGGCAAAAATGCAGGAATATGTGTTAGCTATTGTAAAAATTAGTAAGGATTACGATAGCGTACGGTATATAGGTGCAAAAAGGCCTCACCCCCTTTGAAAGCTTTAAATAACCTCTAAAAAAATTTTTACTTCAGATTTTTGAAGATATCGTCATACAGCTACGGTACGTCGAGACAGTTTCGCGAACTGTGTCACGAAATCAACCTTACCAAAGCACGAAGAATCCACCGTGTTGCTTTCTATAGCTCAATTTCCAGGACAAAAGCAAATAATCTGAAGAAAACTTTTTTATTCCATTCAGAATTTCAAGCATAAGTCATGATGTTGTCTTATTTGTAACATAAAATAAAAATAACAAAGCTGTTAGTTGATTGAGCACAAAATAAGTGAATCGGTTTTACAAAAACCTCTTCAATCATAAGACGACGTATAAAATAGACCGGACAAATTTTACAGTTAGTTCTTCACATTTGTTAATAAAAGGAAAGGATCAGGGGTGGATCACAGAGCAATAAAACTTACAAATGTACTGTACAACTAATGGATGACGGTAATGGATCTGCAATTATTTGGGCAATTTGAACGCGCACGGGTGCATGTGGAGGTCACTTCTTCTTGAAAACTCCAAATGCATTGAGAATGAGCAAAATTATTATACAGATCATGGCAATGCCAAAAAGGACGCAGATGATTGTCCATTTTGCACTCGTCAGGAACATTCTTCGTTGCACTCGATGAGCCGTCATCTTGAAGTTTCCGGCCTGAAATAGATGAATGCAGAGTCGTAGACGATTATGGTATTTTTATTAAATTTTGAAAAAAAAATGTCCAGGAAATTCTCGGTATCTGTTTTTTCAACCGATACTATTGGGTCTTAGCCTGATTCATTCGCGGACGATAAGGACTATAGAGAAGGCTATAAAAAAAGACTAACTCTTGCTCAGACCGTACTTGCTCCAGGCGAACCAATCAGCGACGGCGGATACGGTAATGGACTGGGGTTCAAAGTTGAATTTTTCAAGCATGGTTGATTCTCATGAGCTGTCGTTTAAGTGATGACTTTTCTAAGGCTTTCCAATCACTTTCTAAGTAGGCCAGCCGAGTCATTTATAACTTAATATGTGTGTCTGCACTCTGCGCGGCAACCGACGATATCCTCACTAGCAACTCCTCAGCAAAACCTTTTTTAGCGTAACAAACCTTGTAGTCTCTAGTCTGTATAGTCTTAACTAGCACTTATTCAATCAATCAAAAGAGAAGGAAGAAAAATCGCTGGAAATGAGGAGGTTCAATCTTAAAAGTCGTCAAGTAGCGCGCATAGGGTGCAATACACATATAAATGTAATCAAACAAAAGAAAAAGAAGAAAAATCGCCAGAAATGAGGAAATTCAATTTAAAAGTCGTCAAGTAGCACGCATAGGGTGCAATACACATACCAAGTCATAAATGACTTGACAATACATTGAATGATTACGGACAATTTTTTCATATTCCTTGTTATTATTAAACAATGTCATAGACGCATAAACTCTTCAAAACACTTGATTTTAGATTTTTTTTCTTGATCGAAAAAAACTGTGAGCGCATGCCTCCCTCGACCGCTTCAAAACTACTTTTTCAAAAGCCACACTCCTGCTACCTCAGACAACAATTTTATGTTCTAAGCATTATCTTCCAACCATTGTTCTCGAATTCATTCATAAATAAGCCGAAGGAGAAATAAGGACGACGAACCGAAGCCTGCAGCTCATCCGTACGTCTTTCAATGCTGTCTAGTCGTTCACCTCGTTCCATTAGGGATGCAACATTAGCCGCCATCACCTTAAAAAAACTTTATTTAGCTAAAGCTCAGCGCAGCCGATTTTTAGAAGCTCACATTTTTCACTTCATCCACTTGACGGCGCATATCTTCGATGCGCGTATCATGTGGAGGTCTCTGAGTGTTGTTTTCTGCCATCTGTAAAGCACGAATAAAAGCAATTTTCTATGAAAAATTGTAAGCTATGTATAAGAATTCTCCAATTTCGATTCTAGGATGACTTATTAGAAAGATACTAAAAGAAACAGGGTAAGTCAAGAGGAAGAAGGCGAATTTCACTCCTTCAAAAATATAAACGGCTCTTCACATCAAACATCATAGTTTGTCATTGATTTTTTTTCTAATGTTGATAAAAAGAATGAAGGGGATGCAATTGCCTTTAGTATATACCACAATATGCACATTTATGGTAAGTAAGCAAGCTCTAACGGCTGAAGTCGCTACAGGGAGAATAGCTCGTTTACAAGGCGTAATTATACTATAGTAAAAAAAAAAGCTTGAGTGTAGTCAAGCAAACCAAAATGTCTCATAACTTGGAGATATTGTCTAGACATTCTTACAGTTTGCCAAGCAATTGAAAACAAAAAAAGACCCATCATGTAAGAATAAAAAAGTGAGAAAAAATATGAACAAAGAAACATTCACTATATACTTCAAGCTTTGCTAAAAACCAACTTTCTTGAAATATTTCGCCTCAAAAGTCAAGGATGAGAGGAGAATAAGAAGAGTCCTTCCAGGTCCAACTGAATCACAAAAAATGAAAATTCGTGTAATGTCATTTTTCCAATGTGAAAAATGAAGTGCAAGTGAATGAACAATATTGTTTTATTCTGTTGCTACTGTGGTAAGTTTAGTATGACTTTACAGTAATCATGATCATCATCTGGAAACAACAAGTGGAAATTAGTCTAGTATAAAAAAAAAGGGTAGTCAAAATGCCGGAAGAGACGCTATACAAGTACTATTTGTTAAAAAATTCAGGATAATATGAATCAATTCCCAGCGAACACTAGATAAATTATTCACGACACGAGGAATTACTGAATAGTGTTGAGTCATGTTATTTTTCATTCAAAAATTCATAAAATTCTACAAATCAACCAACCAAACACTCGAACATACCGTTTTGTCCAACGAAAAGAGTCGCATTCTCAATTCTTTGAGAAAATTTTTTGCAATCATCGTGGGAAGAATAGGAGGGCCGAGACTTTGTAGCGAATGGGGAAGGGCAAATGGCAATGGCCTCTACCCTCTATGGGGGCGATTTGCGAGCAGAACTACAGGGTTTTCTATTGCAAGAGTGTTCGTACTCACAACAGAACTGGAACAATCATCATCCGGCGCATGATGCGCTCTGCTATTCAGTATGCGTCAGCCGTCACTTACTCGTCATGTTAGAGGTCAGGTATTAGTAGGCTGTAATCGACTCTACCCTCCATATTTTGAGTTTTTTGCAAGTTTTTTTCACTCCTGACAAAATTACTAAATTACAAAATTACTCACTCTTCGTTCAATAAGAATGAAACATGTAGTTCGAATAACTAATTATTAATCATCTTTTCCAACACTCGTAAATGTGTCGGGATGCAGTTGGACTGCATCAGCTGTTCGGAGGCTGGCCGACGAGAGTCGAGCCGAGCAGTGACCCCCGTGGCCCCGACACCACCCGGTTGCCACCATCCCCCCTTCCCCCATCACCCTTGTATATATTATGTAGATAATAAATATTTATATAAGACTTTGTAACCCGCTACACATCAGGATAAAGGGAGTAGCTAACCTTTTATACCTGAGTCGTAGCCATTTCCATGGTTCACTGATCCCTCATCCTCAGTAGCTCACCCTCACGTACATCATCATCCTCGAATCATATGCCTATCGTCAATGTTGAAGATGTTCTCGCCGTAAACCGCGTGTCCAACCATCTATGCACGCTACCCGGAAGAACAACCGCACCAATCTGACTCGCTCGAGGACGAGCTTCTCGAAGGAATGGAGATGTCGGGATGCAGTTGGACTGCATCAGCTGTTCGGAGGCTGGCCGACGAGAGTCGAGCCGAGCAGTGACCCCCGTGGCCCCGACACCACCCGGTTGCCACCATCCCCCCTTCCCCCATCACCCTTGTATATATTATGTAGATAATAAATATTTATATAAGACTTTGTAACCCGCTACACATCAGGATAAAGGGAGTAGCTAACCTTTTATACCTGACAAATGCCAAGGTCTGAACCCTACCATGAAAAATGCATTCTCTTCGTCATAATAATGCTCACGTTTGCGAATATCATCTACTACTCATTCGGAACTGATCAGCCAAGAAGGACACAAAACAAACCACACCGAACTCAATAAATCTCGCTACAGTAACCCTATGTATTACTTCAATTGGGCTTTCTTCCATTTCTGAGATTCCTATACATAACAATTTTTTGAGAGCTAGAAGAAGTGAGGAAGAAAACTATGGCGCGGAAAACTTTGAAAAATGGCAATAAGAATCTGAATAAACGCTTTAAAGGTAACTTGTATGACTTCATAGATTATCGAGATAGGAGATGGAAACAAAAAAAAAGAAAAGGTTGCCAATTGTTTCTGGAATGTGTAGACAAATAATATTGAGCCAATGTCAAGCATGATTTTTTGTTGCCAATCGATCTTGGGCGAGAAGCATGTGGAAGTTTACGGAAAATAAAAACAAGAAAATGCCAATAAAGAAGAAGTTTAGTAAAAAAAGGTATTTATTGTTAAAACTTTTGTGCACTTTTTGAAAGCCCTAGTTAGCTTAATCTTATAATTCCATGGATAGAAAAGGCACGAGTGCTAAGAAAAAAAATTTTTTTTGAATGTTTCTCAACTGACTAAATACTTAGCTCACAAGTACACAAGCAGTTCTGTATTATTTTTTCGTTATTTTCCCACTTCTAAATGAAGCCATGCCTTTATGAAATATAAATAACTTAGGAAAGTTGACAAAAAATCCTCATATTTAAAATTTACTGTTGCGAAAAGATTACTCAGTGGAGGGCAGCAGATAATTGCTTGTTCTCAAGCAAAGCTAGTCGAGTCATTTGCAACCTAATATGCGTTATGCACAATAGATGCGCTACTTCACGACTTGTAAGATTGAAATTCCCTAAATTCGACGGATGTCTCATTCTTTCTTCTCTATTTTGAATTGGATAAATATCAAATAGCAGTACAAGCTTTCACAGTCTGTACCTTTACAAAAGGTTTTACCGGTGAAACTAGTAAGGTGCCGTCGGTAGCCATGCACAGTGTGTATATTCACATATTGGGTCAAATATGATGCGCATATTTCGCCCAAAGAGCATGATTTGCATACCTAAAGAGTCCGTATCCCTCTCAAAATTCCCAGCTTCCATTCCAAGCTGCAAGGTCCCAAGCACTTTTTATGACCCTCGTTCGGCTAGAGCGTAATCGCCGCCCGCGTACGCAGAAGTGAATCATGCTGCACTTACTGTGCAATTTTAATGCCATTTTCGTCGCTGACGGGATTTTGACAAGAACCGACAATTTCTGTAGAAAAACTGGACAGTGGATTGCATCGAAAGCAGAGTGAATTGTAGAGGTTTCACGATCTAGCTTGGACGTCAATAATGGGATTTCTATAGACTTGTGGATTAGTTTTTTTTTTCAAAGATATTCTAGGTTATAAAAACTTCGAACAACCTGTGAGTACCCCTAAACTTTGCTCAAGACTTATTTTCGAAATGTTTTCTCTCAAAAACGTTTTTACACGCACTATATATGGAAAAACAAAGATTTAGTTATCTGTTATCACCAGCGGAATGGGACACGCCCTCAAAAACTCGCAGTAAATCCTGCATTTTTGTCTATCATAAACCACATAGACTTATTTCTGCCAATAAACGTCCAAACAGTTTTTTAGCAACTAAGTAAAAGTATAAATTTAGAGGAGCTGATCGATAAATATATTTCATCAAACTTGTTGTGTCATAAAAAATGAATGCAATAACGAAGCTGAAACAGCATTCGAGCTTTGGTCTCCTCCAATTCTCCGCTGCCACCACTATTCTAGTGATAATATTACCAGCTTCCAGTTCCGAAAACTTCGATCTTATGCTAAGGAGGGATTCCTAACAAATTTGACGCCAACACTTCATTCGTATTGAAAAAAAAAACCATCAAAAAATCCACCATATCCGTTTATTGTTAGAGTCGCTTCCCAAATCTTCTGCGTTTCTCAACACGGAACCAAGCAAAAAATTCGAGAAGTTTACGCGAGATCTTTGCAGGCAATATGCAGGCAAGACAGTCAGTAAATTCCGCTAGAAATAAAAACTTTTAGCATGTGCGGAGACGTCCTCACGGCAATGCAACCTTTCGTCTTCAAAGGACATGCAAAAATCGAGATTCACATAACTTTTGCGCTGTTATCCCTGCCCCAATGTAGAACCACCTAAATTTCACCCCAGTTATCAAAAGACTTGCAGTTGCTGATGTTGTGTGCGATCAAAAAAAATTTCCCCTAAAGTGATTGCAATCAGATGAACCAAACCCTGTTCGCAACATTTTGGAAACTGTCACTTCTTCGTATTTCGACCCAGCTAGAGAAATTCTATCAAGAAGTAAAGCATGTACTTCCTAATGGCCCCGTGATGGCTTCTTACTAAGTCTTGACTGCAGACATAGAAATGGAAATATCAAACTACTCAAGCTTCTGCTCAGAAAAGTCAGAATCATAGAAACGAAACGGAAATTAGGTAATCGGTTTTCCCTCTTTTTTAAAGGGTTTGTGCCCTCCTCATTCTAACTGTACAAGATTTGTTCTGATCAAGTTTTTGTGTGAAAAGTTATGAATATTCGAGAAAACGCTAAAATAAATTGTTTTTTTTTTGGACATTTTTTTCTCGAAAACCATAATTTTCCATGAAGGAGTTTAAGCAGAGGTTTAACTACAAAAGGAGGTTACAAAACCTACGTTGCTGTCTATCAATAAATAATTTTTAGCTTTAAGGGCCTACTTAAAACCGTCAAAGCTCCAGCGTTCTTTTTTCCATCTTTATCTCTGCAGTCAGAGCTTGAAAGAGAGTCGCCCTGAAGCCATTGGAATGTTCATGTGTTATTTTTTGCATTAGAACTAATAGTAGCGGTCACGACTATTCCGAGCACTAACAATAAGAACGCAGTGATGGTTGAGTCATAGACATGCTCTAATTCTAGCCCTTTCCGAATAGCTTCCAATTTCACTTCGCCAACATTGAATAAATGCCTTCGAAGACATGGTTACATGGAAATTTCCACACAAAAATGTGACAAAACTTGTCCGACAGCATCATAGGAGTCAAAAAAAGAATAGCTGCTTGACGTCATATGAATTCGCTTTCTTTATCATGCCGTCCACATTTCTTCGGAAAGCACCTGACACTAATAAGAATTGCTGACAGAGGGGTGATAGTGCAAAAGCTGATGATTATGGAAAAGATTCATGGAAAGAACGTTCTGAAATTGTCAGGGAATAGTGAGGGATCAGCTTATCCAAAAAATCTCTAAAACAAAAAATGAAATGGCGCAATGTAGACGGCGAACATTGCAAGGAACGTTGACTGCATACGATGTTGATGCCATGTGAAGCTTTGAATCTCAATGGACCCAAAATTCGAAGTGGACCCGAAAGCTTACAACGGCATTGTATTCGTTCCAAACGGAACCGGTTTAGCCCCATATATGACTTGCATGAGGGGTGATTCCGAACATGCATGAAAAACAAGTGCAGCCTCACGGGAACAAATAGACTAAAGCCGGATTCTGAGGGCAAACTTCGCTGGACAAAGTGAAGTATGCGGGTCAAATAGGGAAACGAAAGGGAGAACTGGACATTGAGAGTACCGGTCTGCCAATTTAGGACACAAAATTATCTAAATAGAGCTGGGGGACTGAGAAGGGAGCTAATTTAGAATTTGGGAGTTTTTTCCGAGAAGTGAGATGTTAGAGCATGTTGCGCCTGACTTGAACGGTTCGCCGTGTGCTCTTTCACAGTTTACTTAATCGATGGGGTGGCACGGTAAAAAATTCTTTCCTAAGCAAATAGAAAGGTAAAGACGTAGCAAAGGAGTACACACACATATGAGCCACGGGAAATGAGTCATAAAAACGAATCCTTGCTTTATATGACAAAGCAAAAATTCCGCTATGAATGACTATGATGGCATCCCCATGGGACGTTGTTGAATACCAAAATATGAGGACAAAACTAACGAAGACGGTCAGTTATCACAATAAATTAAGAAATTAAGCTATCCAAGAAGGAATCGATACTAAGAAGCGTCTCTTATTTGCGATAAAGGAACGATAAGGCCGGGCCGTCATAAAAAGACCATGTCATGAGCTTATGAACTGGGCGTATCGAGCAAAGCAAGAGCTGATGATTCAGATGAAAAATTCCATCGTTTCCCCTCTTTCTGCACTTTAACTAACTCCAAGCACGATAAAATGAGGCTATGAAGCAAGACTGACAAGGGAACGGAAATGGTCAATCCGAACAAGCTGCAAACCAATAGATGCAACATATAATTCTGACTATAAATCTGTCTTTTTCTATCTGCTAATCACTTTTATGGAAGAAGCTATAAGCCATTATAAGCCATTTAACTGCTGGGGACTAGGGAATCGTGTGTACAAAGCACAAATTTTGGCCATATAGAGCCATGTTCGACTGAATGCTGGACCATAACAACCTAATCTAAAGATGACCTGAAAAAGGAGTGATATGCTCGATTTCGCAATTTTGATGTGCGATTTTCACGCAAAACTGCTCATAACTTCGTCTACAAAGGCATTTAGCAGATATGGGGAACAAGTTAGAAATTAGCGTTCTATGCTGCATTCATTGGTATGCAGCTTGCCTGGATTGGCCACTTTGATTTCTGACCATTCCCTTGTGAAAAAAGTCCTTTTTATACCAAATACATATACGCATGATGCACAAGACTAGGGAAAAAATTGTGACTCTTATTGGTACGGTAAAAAAGTTTATCTCCTAACATTTGACTATCAAGAACTTTATTTTGAAAGAAATTTTACGCCATATGTAAGCAATATGACATCACAGATTGGCGGTCGGAACATGTTTAGGAGGGATGCAAGGGGGTTTTATTTGCATGAAGAGCTAGCTAACAGGAGCTTTCCAAATATTTTACGAAGTTATTCCAAAAAAGGAGTTAGCAACAGCCGACTCTCAAAAATTTTTGAGAAAGCTAGTATCGATTAGCAACAGCCGACTCTCAAAAAATTTTTGAGAAAGCTAGTATCGATTCTTCATAGATTTTCAAAATTACGATAATTTATTACGATTATTACGATCATTCACAAGTAAAGAAAGTCATTTGCACAATTTTATAGATTTAGGAGAGCAGAGGGTACAGCGTTTTCATGGTTTCGATCATGTTGAAGAAATGTTTGGAAAAAATTTCATTTTGAGCGATCATTTCAGCCGAAGCTGAGGAAAAGGAAACACAATCTGCTCAATTCCATTCCAAGATTAGTCATCAAAATATGTGTAAGGATTTCCACAACCATTCACGTTTCTATCGAAACCATTGACGCGGATGTTTTTTTCGCCGAGAATTGCGCTGCTTACAAGGTATCCAAGCAATCTTCGTCAACAATTGTTGATGCTTTGCAAAACAACATTGAATAAGGCACCTTTGAAGTGGAAAAATTTGTTTGCTTACAAAGGCATACGTTTGTTTGCTATCTCTAATCTGGATGAAAGGGTGAAGTGAAGAAGCTGAAAGCAACGCAGGTGAAAAATCCAACAAAAACAACAAAAAATTGGCAAAACCTGTTTCACAAATAAATATCAGGAACGTAGAGAAAACTCCTGCCATTAAAGTAAAAATGCCAGAAAAGTGTTTCAATTGAACTTTCGAATTTTCCAACCCATTAAGCAACAACCTCAAAAGCAAAAATTATGTGCTTTGGTCTGACTTTGATTTTTCAATGAAAAATCATTGAGAATATCTATCGCTGAAAAAAAATGAATGATGCGTACTATGATGTTGTTGATGTCGATGTCATATAACCTTTTATGCAGCTGTAGAAACGATACATTAGCAAAATGCCAAAACAAAGTTTACTGAAAGGATAGAAAAACTGCATGGTAATCAATCTTTCAAAAAGACCGCTCCCGCTCAACATTTTTTTCAAAAAAAAAAGGATTACTCACCATCAAATGCTGTAGAATCGGATGGATTTGTTGCTGTAAAGCATGATCCCCTAATGTCCGAAGGCTTCCCAGCAAGTCGTTCTGTTCTAAGACGGCTGTCTGAAACAAAAAAATTCTTTTTGATAGAGTTTTTTTCACCGAAAATCAGTATTGGGATACTGTGAAATTTCAACAGCTTTTCAGAATCTACACAAACCCACTTTGACGTTAAGTAAGAACTGCTGTGCCCGATCTGATGGCACTTCGGGTTCAGCAACACAAGCGTAGATCAGCGGACCAGGTCCATCTAATGACACAGCATAGTGGATGAAATATCTACAAATTTGATATTCAATGATTTAACTCCGCTTGGTTGAAAAATGTGAAATCCCCTACTCAGAGACGTTTACATTCATTTACTCTTCAATCCGTCAAATAAATTCCCAGTAAAATTTAGGTCACTATGACGCTTGGCCGTAAATCTCATCATAAATTTTTGTTCTGCTCCGCATTATGGAGGTCTGACTTGTTCACATTTGTATTTTTACAGATTTTACTGACTGGAATCTCTATATGTACTATTATTCGTATTCCTCTTAAATCTCCTTCAGAAAAGATTTCATTATTTATTGAATCAACGCTAAATCAGATTTTTACTAAACTACAAGATGTTTTTTTTTCCGAAATCCAATATTGCAGAAGCAATAAGATAAACAAATTACAACTTTTGACTTTTCCCGATAAGCACGATGGAAAAAGTGAAACTTGGGTTTCTTTCTTGCTTTGTTCAAGCGTCACTTTACAAAAACTGAGGGCTAAATAGCAAACAGCCGGATAAGAGAAAATTTGTGTAGAGCAGTTTCTTTATTTAGCAGCGACATCACTACATTTCCAGAGAAAAAGTCTAATTGCTATTGCGAAGGTGATCCGGAACATTTGCGGTGTGTGAAAGAATAATTTATCCGAGGAGCCAGTACTTCTCTCCGGTCTCCCCTGATGAATGTCCGAAAGGAAAATTCCCCTACAGAATAAAGACTATCTCACGATAAGTTTGAAGTACAACTCACCCATCAATCTCGATCTTGCCATCATTATTGAAATGAAGTTGTGCCCGTTTTTCGATAATTTTCGCGGCCTGAATAATTGGATTAACCCACTGAAACTGGAGCAAAGCTGTAGATACTCACTAGATATTCCGATGGAATCGCTGTAGAAGAATTACTAGATGGCTGAGCTACCTCAAGCTCACAATTCGCTAGAACAATAACATCTCCAGAAGTCGACGGCCTACAGACTATGCCCTGCACGACACTCATGGCAGATCAAATAAGTTGTTAGTTTTCTGAAAAGCAGAACAACTGAACCAGAACTACGAAACTATCGCAAAATGGACGTAGCGAAAGGTAGAAAAAGAAAACGCTGATGTCACCACGAACGAATGCATCACGATGGAGTGTAAGAAACTACAATGACCGAACAAAAGCAATTGGATCCATTCTGTATCTTGACAATGAACAAAAAGAACACTTCCATCAGTGAAAGGACAGTGAAAAAGGCTCATTCGAAACGCTCTAGTTTTACGAAATTTTGTCGCTCGTAATGGTTGTAACATCTCACCCATGTATGAAAACCATAATTGTATTTCCGCATCTTCGAAAATATATCTTAAAAATATATTCGAATCAGCTGATAGCGTTATCTTATATCGAATTTGCGTATTTACATTCGATCGGTATTCCGTTCGTTTCAATTTTTACATAAAAAGCACGGCATGAGGAATGTAAACAACGGTGTCCGATTTTAGCAAAAATAAAATAGAATAAAATAGAATAAAACAACGTTTATGTAATCGTATACTATTCACGTCTGAGAGAATAATAATAAAAATAACTCCGGGGAACTAATTCGATATCTACACACCGCTCGTGTTTTATGAAAAAACGAATCACAGCCGCTCTCATCTAGAAGACATATGATGGAAAAATTACTTTGGATCTAGTGACTGGTGCAATTCTACGAATTTAAAAATGATACAAAGTGACCGGCTTGAAAAAATTTTTGTCTAAGGCCCCGGACAGACTTCACGCGATTTGATCGTCGCGACTGAATCGCGATGAGACAACTGTTACAACATCATTCCATGCCGATCAACTTGCATTTCGGTTGTAATACTTTTCCAGCCCGAAATTTTTGAATGAGGAATGAAAATGAATGGAAATGTCGGCGATTGAGTCGCGACGATCAAATCGCGTGAAGTCTGTCCGGGGCCTAAGACAAAATTCTAGAACGAAGAAATTTTCTGCCACCGCCGCCCGCGCTCACAACCGCTAAGTTTACAATGACTCAACCCATTAAGCTCTTAGGAAACGAGGAATTCTTGATGGAATTTGACTGAGTCAGGCTGCTCCGATAGAATGACACTTGTTTACATCGAAAGGTCAGTTTAGATTCGAAGGGCGACGCACATTCGCCCCATTCATGTGACATCACCGTAGCGTGGCCATATCTGGCTTCAAAGCGGACGAAATCTTAATCCAATGGCACCATTCGGCTCAGCTCGGCGCGGTGCATCTTCTGATATATAGAAGTGTCTCTCTGGACACAGTAGAAGGCCACCTTCATGAGCTTCAGATTTGCTTACGGTAGGTTGCCCACTAAATGCAATGAATAAGCACACTGAGTAACCTAACTTGTGCAAAAACCTGAAACAGTTCGTGGAATCTGGCATTTTACTGTGTCCAAGTGGGCACTTCTATTTATCAGAGGATGCACCGCGCCGAGCTGAGTCTAATGGTACTCTTGGATTGAGAATTCGTCCACTCTGAAGTGAGATATGGCCACACGGTGTTGTCACATGTATCGGGCGAATGCGCGTCGTTTCCCAAAAAAATACAAGCCGTATTGTAACGTCCAATTCCAATTTGCTGTTCCAAGATTAGGAAGGAAAAACGTAATATAATCATGTAAGCAAAGTTGTCAAAACGATCAGATGATTTTGACGTTTTTCCGGGCTAGACATAAAGTTCATACAAGGGAATGTCAAATCTGCTATTAACTCGCAATAAGATCGAACCAAACGCTGATGGGGAATACAGGAAGCTCACGCTGCTTCACCATAAGCAAAGTAATTATGGAAACAGCGGCCAATCTGATTTACTCAAAAATTATTTTCATTAGAGCCTCAGTTTTTGAGACTGATTTCGGGATAAAAAATGGCACAGGTGATTTTTTTGCACGACAAATTTGCCTACATGTACATCAGAAGAGAATGCCGTAAATGCATCATTCTAATAAATCAAGCTTGAATCAGGATTTAGAACGTTTAACATCGATGTGAGGACTGCGACTGCAAAACTCTCCCGCAAACTATTGATTTGTTACATCCCAATCTTGAAGGCACCGTTCACCCTAAGTTAGGGGTGTTGAGCTTTTAGCGGCTTACGATAGAAAGACCCCCTAGCTAATATCCAAGTCGTGGCGAAAAACGTCACAACTTGGATATTAGCTTCAGAAGGCGTGAGGACCCCAAGTCAACCTCCCCTTTCCAGTAATGCCCGCCCCCCCGTCCGTGCACGCCCATCCAATCACCATTCCGGAGAACCGGCCTGCGGGTTCTTCGGAACGGAAATTGTCGGTGCTTTCGCAGATTCTTTACTTCATATTCGGAATCAGGGACATTAAAAGGCCCCAGAACGACCCAGACATGGAAGTCGAGAATGTGAGTGGACCCCAGGGTGCCTTTAACCGGCTCGCGTACACTCACGTTAAAAGGGCTATTTCGATATTTAGAGTCGTTTTCAGGGCGGGGTAATTAGACCCCACCAGGTAAGGAATAGATATTTGAACTTTCTGGAACATAAAAAGATGGTTTAAGCGAACATATTTGGGATGCTTGCGACTGAGACCACATTGGAATAAGTAAAAAAACCAGATTGCAATCAAAATTGGAGGAATTGACTACGGTTCTCGCTAAAGCAGTGAAATCCACATTTGCAAATCTGTGTACAACAATCCATGAAAAATAAGGCAAAATCAGTAATATTTCAGATCAAGACACCAAAAAGTTCAACTTGTATGCTTTTTACATTGAGGAACTCATGATTCGAAAAATAGACTTCTAAGCTGAATATGATGTAACTCCGAACTTCGTGTAAAAACTGAACCCCCCTCACTGTTTCTGCCGATTGTATAGATATTTATACTTTCCTTGACTCCGTCGAGTGTATGAGGCTGATTACTTTTCGCCCAACTTCATAACTATCCCCCGGTCCCTCTCTCTTGCACCATTAGCTGGCAATTTCTCGAGTGATGAATCGGAAGACGAGTATTTCAAAGGAAATGTCAATCGGAAATGAATCACGGAAACTATTAAGAGGCTGAGCGTTTATGAAAGCTTAAGACACGGAGGAACGACAATCGTCGCCGCTTACTAATGCCAGAAATTTTACACAGCTGCCGCGTTCTGGTGCCTAAAAAATATTCTGATTAATCAGACAAACTTGAACCCGGAGAACAGATGTGTCGATTTGAAACATCGATTTGGATTTGCCAAAACAAGGAAGGAAAAGTTCGATTGTGATCATTTTATGAAGAATAAAGTTTCTAGAATTGTAAACATTGGACCCCTTCCTTCTTCTTCTTCCCCTGCTGTACACCAAAAATAGCATAAAGTCCATGTTTTCGCCAATGTTTTCCAATAAACAAGGGATTCCCTGACAGGGCAACAGCAATAAAGATATTATAGCAAAGAACGCAAGCACAAAGAACAACCAAGGGTGATAGGACAATTTGTGCAGTTCTGCTGGTAAACAGCGATATATTCTTTTGTGGGAACTGGTAATGCACATGTTTTCCCAACTCCCCCGTCTAGTGAACGTTACCTGCTCAAAAATTAGCGATCAGAAGGTTCAGCTCGTCTACCACAATGACAACGAATCCGCTTGGAACTTTCTAGAACTACAATCAGGAATTACACAGGGTCTAGAGGCAATTAATGCCCTCGCTCAACGAAAATTGATTGACGCACTCAAACTTCTGTGATTCTTCGTTTTTCATTCACCAATCATCTTCAAAACCGAAAGTTCACCAAACCAAGACTAAGAAGTAGAAAAAAAAGCACACCTCCGCCTCTTAATCACTTCCCAATAATGTTGTGTCAGTTTGAATTCGCATAAGCGCGCTTCTTTCTCAAGGACCATTTCCCATGGCTTATGACCTCGGTTACGGAAACGACCTCGTGAGTGGAAGTGAAAAAGTGTCCCCTCAAGAATGTAACACCCACACATGCCCTTTCGTGATCATGCGTTCAAATTGTCATGTGAGTTAGTGTAAAGTGCTTGAAGATGGAGAAGCAAGGATGCAGCCAATGCGCTGAATTCTAATCATAGGTTTCAAAAAACGTAGAAATTCGCTGAACTGTAGTATGGTAAGAGAAATAACGTTAGAGTGCAAAAAAAGCAGAAAGAAATCTGCACCTATGATATCTGCATTGCGGAGGAATTTCCGTAGGATAAGAATAGTATCTAACCTTTGATATAGTACCCTGCGGTGCCGAAAACACTTGCGCGTGAACAGACGCTATGGACAAAAAAAAAAGAAACTTGGAAATTTGCTCTCCTTACGCTCACAGATCGTCAGCATTATAGGCATGGCAATTTTTTCACGCGCAGCTGCTGTCGACACCGTAAGAGCACTATATGAAGCATCGCTACTAGCCTATAGTCACCCTGACCTTGACAAGCTTATCAGGATGCAGATGCTCCTGGTAAAACTTGCTCAATTTATTCCTAACAACTATCTGCTTTCTTCATCGAACCGTTCGTGGCATGTATCGTTGTTGTTGTTTGAATGCTTCTCTTTCATTATTCGCTGTTTTTGTTGATGTTCCTAGTCATTGTTTTGACTATTTTGGCGTCGATTTCTTTCGTTATACTCCACATAGGCTTGCCCATGTAACTTACTAGATATTAGGTTGGCTAATAAATACTTTCGGTCTGTTTTGCAGCTCCTACAGATTCTGCAGACAATTTTTTGTCCAGTATTCGGTACCGTTGGAAGAACCACTTCAGTGAGAATTGAAACATAAGAATTATTCGAATGAAATTTATATGCTATCAAAGATCCGCAAAAAAGTGAAAGAAACCCAATTTTTTCATTGTGCACATATATGAGAAAATTTGGTTTTTTTTGGTCAAAGAATTCTGAAGTGGTAGATCAAATTTTTATTGGTAGTCGCTGAGTAGGGGAACCTTGTCTACAGTCCCTTACTGATAATTTAAAATCCTGAATAGTAGATATATGGTAGAAGACGCGCTGAACTACTTATGCACAATCATGAATAGTGAGCAACTTAAAAAGCTATGAACATTTTCATGCCAGAACGAGATTAATTTTTAGCCAACCTAAAAAAATAATCCCGCTGTGGCGCTGATGATCAGCACCGTTGTTCAACTACTTAAAGACGTGCCAAAGGCAGCGCCAAAGCGCGAGAGGCATGCCGTGCAACATCGCCTAGGGGAATTCTCATGGGCGCATTGTAGTATACATTCGAGTAGATTTAACGGCAAATATAGTGTGCTTGCGCAGAAGGTGAAATGCGGTGAAATTTGCGCGTGAACAAGTAGCCACGTCAGTACCGCGGGCATCTTGCGCGCGCAATTGGCCGGCGTCACAGTCGAAACTATTTCTTCACGCGCCAATTTTACCGCATTTCACCTTCTGTGCAAGCACACTATATTTACCGCTAAATCTACTCGACTGTACAGTATGCAGTACAGTATTCTCATTGTCAGGACGATTTGTGTGATTGCACTTTCAGGCACTGGGAGACCAGCGGCTTTTTTGCTTGGTGCAATTTTCTGGAGCCCTTCTCCAACGTTAATCTGGTTCTTACTTTACGCCGATTAACTTCAAGGCAGATAATATTGGTGCAATTACACAAACATCACTTAGCGAGGATGAGCGCAGGAAAGTTTAACTTGATTTAGCAGTCAAGTCTAGAGCATTTGCAAAAACGTGGCGATGGCGCGACCGCGCGCGACACGCATCATTTCTAGCAACCTCGTTTTCTTAGTTTCTATCTCTACTCGGATGGTTTTTCTACATACATATAATAGAATTCAGACACTAAGAGTGACTGAGTTGAGCACTGAGGTGATGCCTGTTTATATGGGTATTTTATGCTTCTATATGCGCAAAGACCGCAGTCAAACTTATCGTCACGATTTTAAGAGTGACCTATAAGTTCTGCAAGAATCTCCCCTCTATGGCTGCAAATCAAAGTTGAAGTAGGGAGTGGTGCCAAGGTGTAAAGTGCAAATGATCTGATGTTGAGTTTTCATCGGTATCTTCAAACTTCCACGCCATCTTCCCACTTGACGCTGAATTTTCGCTATGCATGTAAGTGCAGTGACAGAGTTGCCCTATTATTTGCACTACATTTCACGTCAGGTTTATCATAGCTTTGTCTTAGTGCATTGTTGTACTATATCATCGCTCACTTCTGTACTGACTTATTGTAATGGATAGCGAGTAGAAATACAATGCATATTTACAATCGAGTACATTTTTCACTTAATATAGTGTACTTGCAGAGGTATGCAGCCAAATTTGCGCATGGACAAGTATAGTCCGTTTATAAAATCGTGACGACGGATTGTACTGCGAATCTTGCACTCACATGAAAACAAAACGCTCATACAAGAAGGAATCACCTCAACCTTCAGCTCAGTCACTTCCAGTGTCTAAGTATTATCATACATAAGCAAAAAAAACCATTCGACTAGAGATAAAAACCATGAAAATACGATTTCCAGTAGTGGCGTGCATGTCGCGCACGGTCGCGCCATCGTCACAATTTTTCAAACGCCCTATAGCTACGCTTGTGACGCCGGCTAGCTGCGCGCGCAGAATGCCGGCATTACTGGCGTGAATATTTGTTCGCACGGAAATTCTACCGCATTTTACCTGCAGTGCAAAAACACTATATTAAGCCGAAAGGCTGCTCGACTATGCAGTATGTACATATGTACAGCCCATTTACAGATCGGTGAAACAACGTGCCGAACGCGCTTACGGGAACGGCTATAGGTTGTCGGTGTTGTCGATGTTGTCGATGTTGTCGATGTTGTCGGTGTTGTCGATGTTGTCGGTGTTGTCGGGGTTGCCGAGGTTGCCGGTCGTTGTAGGACCCCATGATAGCCTCCACGTTTCGCGCGCTCTCTAAACTGTCTCTGACCCCGACAACTCCGACAACATCGACAACGCCGACAACACCGACAACACTGACAACACCGACAACACCGACAACATCGACAACCTATGGCCGTTCCCTACCACGACGTAAATGAAAACCTCCTGTAGATGTTTTTTGGTTAAGTTTTTCTTGGTCGGTTATTCGGTTTTCGTATGCGCCATCTTTTATTCTCGATGGACATTTTCGATTGATTTTTTACTTTTGCATTTCCGTGCGATATTTTCATGCCTAAACTAACCATTATAAAATGTAGGTTGCCTTTTCAATGGCATAGTCCCCTTCGCTGCGACTAAGCATGAGCAGTGCGAACGCCACACGTGCCGACTGCGATTGACAGGACCAATTAAGGGTCACGCGAGAGGATGTGCCAAATGGACAAGGACACTACGATTGAAATACATTGTATACGCGTATACATTGTACTCACAGCAAGCAAAGACAGAGAACATATCGGCGTCTCTCTGATCAAGAGCTCTTTCGGTTCTCTACCATCTACTGTCTCTCCCATGCACGAACTATCTAGGTCGGACGCAACGGCGCTCAGTCTTTGCGTGTCACGAATCGCCTATACACAAGTAGTATAGGAGGCAGTATACTAAATCGTATTTCTTTACCAATGAAGGATATGCTATATTACAAGTAGCCATTCTCTCCATGTATTTCTCCTATTCCCATCCCCACAATCCCTCCTTTCCTGACAATGAGATGATTTACTATTTTACGCATTCCGGACCCTGCAGTCTGCTCATTCCATCAGATTTCGTCATTCTTGCGGCTGTCAAAACGCTCACATGCACTGCGCATGATAGGGTTCAAATGAAAGTACATCTTGATATATCAAAAGCCCACACACATGAAAAGTTAGGCTCTGTGGAAGTCAAAGGTGAACTTTTGCAAGGTGTCAACATCATTTGTCATTTCTAGCAAAAAGTTATCAACAAGGAAGCAGATGTGTGCGCCATTGACATTGATAAAACAATTCAATGGAGTTGGGCATTAGCGTGCACATCGGTAAACAGAATTCTGCAGCTGCACTCATGCAGAGAACTATTAACGCAGAATCTCGCCGGCAATATTTCCCCTCATTTTATGTGCCTTTCATTTTGAAAGCTTCAAAAATGAAGGTAGCCGCTCACTGCAACTCAAGCGGAACATTAGGGAATAAGGTGGACCACAATAGGTGAAGACTTGCGGGTAGTAACGACAGAAAGCATTTTTGCATCCAATTTGCGCAAAAATATGCGGTCACCAGAGGTATACGCCATAGTTATCCGCTTCATTTGCAAAAAAATATATATTGCAAATACTGAACGACATCATTTGTTATTTGCCATCGCGTGAAAGGGAAATTGCAAGCTATTTTCCTCCTATCCAAAAATGTTACCCAACGTCAAATGAAAAATATCGTCGTTTATAGCGCGTTTTGTGATGGAACAGATGGTAGGCGCTAAAGTCCTCCGCTTATCCGCTTCGCAGCTTCAGACTGGTCGAATAACTAAGTTGACCAATCAGAGAGCGGCTAAGCGGTCAAGTCTGGCGCCTGCCGATGAGATGAATTTGATGAGGAGGACAAGTATGGCAGGGGGATTTACACAAATTCACATTCAAACAATGTCTATATACAATGTGTCAAGATTGCACTCCCAGTATGCGCTACGCTAGAGCCATGTGCAAATTTGACGCGCCGATCGGAGATCGCTGCGCAATACCCACGCGTTGCGGATACGTAGTTGTTACGAAAACAGACATGTTGACACAGATTGTGTATTGACTTATCTCCTTGTTCACGAGATATCACAAAAGATACTAAATTCTAGAAAATCGCACCCCTTAAAAACCGCACGACGGCAAATAGCGAATAGGTTCATGCCTCAAGAACCAAATTTAACCATTTTATTTCATATTCATGAACCAGGATCAGATATTTCTGGATGTAACTTCCTAATGTAAACAGTACCTACATTGTTGTACAATGTATAGCACTATTTACATGTTATTTGAAGAGCTCAGACATCATTTTTGCCGATCTTTGATTCGCAAATACTCGTTTTTATACAATTTCCATCACTCAATTTTGCCTCAAAATCGATGATGGGCCGTCATCGAAGAGCTCTTGTTATGTAATTACCTCGAGTTCTCTCCAGCGGTGCAAGTTCGCGTTTTTAGGTAGGAACGAAAATATTTGTCCACATTACAGCGACCCCCTCATAGACGCTGCGGCGCGCTAGACGTCATGAGAAGTGCTTTGCGATGGACGACACACAGCCCGGTAGGCACGTGCTGAAAAAGTCGTAGCAAACAGCATGGGTTCCTAGTATATTTTGGGAAAACACATTGTGAATTAGATGGCGATACATGATGACAACACTCATGGGGTATCACGCAAATAGGGATGATAATGACTACTGACTGGACCTAGATGATGAAATCTAACTCCAATTCTAAATGAGAAGAACATAAGCAAACCAGAATCTTCCAAGTCATGCAAGATGATTATGAGAGTAGTCTACAGAAGACCAGTTAATAATATGGGAGTTTTTGTCATTTTGGGTTCTAGTGCAAAGACGCGACTAAACATTGTATAGCGAGAATGAAAACAAAACAAAGTAATCCCCGTAAATGTTTGAAGCCATTCCTAGAATAAGAGAGCAACAGTGCAAAGTCTGATTGAATCCAAAGCGTCAACGATTATTACTGGTGATTATGGAGACTAGACACGAAAACAAAATTACGATTAGAATTAAAATGTTGTCTGTGAGAGAAAGAGCAGGTGTTTAACTCAAAGTAAAAATCGATCAAGATATATTTACAAGTCACTTAAAGATCTCCCCAAAACAGATACTTCAAAAATGTTGATCTAACTGAAATACACGTTTATTTTCGTAAGAAAATTCGCAAATAAGGACTAAGCAAGGATAACGCTACTGATTAAGGCGTCCATGAAAAAACAACAATGGGAATCATTCTGCACGACGCACACCATTAGCGAAGTAAAAAATTGAGACATGAGACAAAGTCAGAGAGAATGCAGCCGCTTCAACGGCTTCCTAAAATTATACAAAGCTCAATGAAGTAATTTATAAACAAAACGGGAAAAATTGAGATTTGCACACGAACAACCAGAAAATATGCACATTATTTACATGGAATATGGAGAAGGCGAACAAAAAGCGACTTTGATGAACCATGAACTAACATGAAATTGGAACAATGTACACTAAGGAATAACAGCTTATCAAATTGAGATAATGCGACTGACAACATAACGCAGAGCCGCATAGCTAAAACTTGCGATTCAGCAATCTCAAACATAATAGGCTGATCAGAAAATGCAAGAACATCGGAGTCAGATAACTTGTCTGACTTCAATAATAGCAAAACAAAAACCTAAAACTAGAACGCAAACGACTTCACAATAAGTAGACCCGCAAATGCGGAAAGACAAGGTCTTAAACCGGGAGCTTGATACAGATTAGTGGCAGTCTTTGTTAAATGATAGCGGCATGTATACCCCTCGACAAAGACACGTAAAATATGCAAGTTGTGAAACGATATTGACTTGAGCAAATTTCTAGTTTATCATAAGGTCGCGTATGTACCGCCGCATTCCATCAAAGCCCGTCTTTGTGGTACTTTCTGAAATAAAGCATATGTCAAAGCAAAACACTCCATAGCTCGAGCTATCGATCTGTAGCCGCTTTGCATGTTCAAAAAAGGTGACAAAAAGCAGTCCAAAATTAGTGAATGTACAAGGTAACAGAAAAAGATTCACTACTTTCAAATTTATTTGGTCGACAGCGAAAGAAAAGAGTAAGGCTATTTTCGAAACCTAATACACTGCGGTCTTGGACCCAAAACAGTAAGTGCGGTTGAGGCAAGGAAATGGCAATGCAGATTCAGTGGCTCAACTGGGACACTCTTTTGTAAAAAAAAGAGTGATGCATTAGAACCAACAATTTCAGTGAACAATTTCGATCAAAGATTGAGCGAAAGAAAGAACTTGTTGGAAAAAATACAAATAGCTGCGTACCTGGTCTGATAGGAGTGCGACAGACTTTGAAGAGATAGGGTTGACAATCCGGTAGGTTTGAGTCAAAGACATTTGAGAGCTCCGTTCTTGTCGGCATTTTTGGTAGATACTGCTGTCGATTTATGGAACTGCACACTTGAAGGACTATTTCGCCGACACTTTCGGCTACAGAGACACGCATCCGTGCAAGATCATCTGAAATATGTGCGCATGAGAATGTCCATATACAAAGACAGAAAGCATTTTTCAAATCAAACATAGCGCATAAAACAAATGGAGCATTGCAGCTCAACAGTGAAAAAGAATGACTTTCACGTTTGGATAAAAGGACGACTAAACTAACGATGAGTCAGTATTCAGTGAGATATGGCCAACACTATGCAAACTAGCTCACCATAAGAATTAGCCTTGAAAATGTCCAAAAGTAATATCCATCGCTCCCATGCTACAGATTCCGTTGTTAGTGGCCATGGACGTGGGCGACGTTGGAAAAACTCCAAGCTTATCTGAGCCCCAAGCAGTGGGACTGAAAATCATAGTTGAAAAAGTGAAAATCAAACATGTGTAATGTTTATCCTAGAAGCCAGCGAACAGATTGTGTACCGCGATATCTCCCACTTCATCAAAAGAGGACCAATTGACTACTTCAGGGTGTTTTTCCAAAAATGCTAAGGTATAATATATCCGAATTAACGACGAAATGCAGTCGTTCGGCACAAAAACATTCATAAGTAATCAAGACTACATAAAAGTAGATGATGTGCATTCAAATACAACACTGAAGCCAGTAGCAAGTTTCAGAATTCGGACTAACAGATCATTAGTGGCATTTTACCACATGTTATGAGATCGCTTCGAATATGAAATGACGAAGTGCAAAGAACGACCCTAACACTCAAGAAATTTCTGCTATATGCTATTCGTGTAAACACCATGCAATAAAAGAACAATTTGAAGAATAATCCATCATAAAAGTGGCGTGCAAGCAGCAACAAAAATGGTGACATACTTGCTGATTCAGCAAGAGGACTGCTGACTGGTGTATGTCGACGTGGGAGAGCTGCAGCATTGACAGTGCTGTCTAAATCAGCTATGAATGGTTGTATCTCCGTCTCCAGCTGGTACGATAATGCATCGCTATTGATTTTGACCTGTAACAAGACTTTTTGTGAAATTTGTCGGCAATTCTCTCAACTTTGCAGACTACATCGAGAAAAGACCAAATAGAGCTAAATATGGAAATAAAGCTTCAGGTATGCGAAAAATAAGCTAATGAAGATCTTGAGTTGACTCTATTACCTCTGGATATTTGCTGAATGAGTGTAGCGAGATTGGGTACACAAACAGGTCCCCAGCAACCAGCAGAAAATGAAAAACCAGTAGCCTGCTTCGATTTCGATATGACAAAAGCAACTTTATGAGCCGCTAATGGATTTTCTATTTTTGACTTTGTTTACTTAAATCCGCGTGACCACAATTTGTTTATGGAAACGCATGTTCTCCGCAATGTGAATTTAATTGTTTGATATCAATAAAACACTGTCAAAGGCACGAGACTAGTGAAGCGATTGAATATTCAAAAAACTCTAACTACAAAAAATGAACAAAAACTAAAAAACTAGGTACTATCATTGCCATTCCCATCCACTTTGATGAAAAGGGCAATGATAGCGCCCAAATGTACAAGCTTCATAAAGACGAAAGTCAGCTATGGACATACAAAACGTTTTTTAAAAACCGCGATTATTGATATCACTGAAGGAGTTGTTGCAGTGAAGATCATTCAAAGAACTAGAAACTTTTGCAGCGAAGACCATTCAAAGAACGAGAAACTACCAAAGATGATAATATGTCCGGAAACGACTTTCTCTTTCAAAATAAAAGGAAAAGTACAAAAGAATATTACAAACTTGAGTGAACGATGGTAAGTGCACTTCCGTCAATCAAAACTAAAAAAATACAGGCCTACTGATCACAACTTTGAACGTATCTCTGCCACTGAACCAAATAATAGCAAAAAAAAAACCACTTGCTCCTTTGCACTTTCAATTGCAAATGCACAGTTCTAATCTGCCAGTATATTCTGGTCTGCAATTATCCGCGTAAATCCTGCTCCGCAACAGAACTTCCCTAAGCGTCTGCTCAGCGCCTGAGTGTTGTACGAACGTGAGGCTTGTGTTCAGCAAGTCCATATGACCTTGCCAGAAACTCACGTGCCACACACGAGACAGCGACTGCCAACGCTCGTTTGTTAGCACGATCAGCTGACACTTGAGTGCGAGCGACTGGCTGCGTCTCCGCAAGTCACACGTTCTCTGCGTCCGATGCGCCACTGTGCTGTGGATCTTTCCCATAACCCGAAAAAATGGCATCACAGATTGGCGCATGGAGGCTGATGCAAGCTGATGCAAAGAAGATGCAAAGGGCTCTTCATAAACACAGAAGAAGAGGAAAAGCAAACAGAGGAACAAACAAATGAATTCGGGAAAAAACTCACATATGTAAGATCAATATTCTCGCATTCGACTTCCTTGATACCAAGAGAACCTAATGAGTAGTTCGAATCTCCCTTGTATTGAAACTGAAAATGAAAATTTCATCTTATAATGGGGAAATGTCTTCAAAGAAAATTTTGATTTAGGGTTGCGTGGGCGGCTCTTGAAATAAAGACTGTATTTAACTGATGTAGTAGAGCATAATGCTAAAACTAAGTTCATGAGAATAGAGAACGCATTATATTGACACAGCTTCCACCCAACGTTCATAACTTTTTTTTATACAAAACAAAGAAAAAGATACACAATGCAGAAGCCCAAGAGTGCAGAGCAGTGTTAAGTTGAGAAGCTATCGATTGAAGTTCTTGTGCTGCTTGCTTGGATTTGTACTTCAGTGTCGGATGTAATTTGAGAAATTCTTTTCACAGACGCTGCAGAAAAAAAAACTGCAAGACCAAAATTGATTTGGACCGACAGCTGTGTTGTGTGCGCTCTTTTCAGACATGATGTTGCGCGATTTCGAAAGAAAAAAAGACCAGTCAAGCCGGCACCACTTTCAACTAACTTTTCACAATGTTGGTGAAGAGCAAACAATAGCTTAGAATGAAGTCGAGAACGACCAACGACGCATTGCAAAAAAGTTTCGAGTGGCTTTTGCCACTTGGACTTTGAGCTGATTTTGCAGCCAGTCAAGAACATATAGCGATCATTTTGGGAGTTCTCAAAGAATGGAAAGAGGAGAAATAAAGAAATAAGACGGTCTAACAAAGAAAATAAAGATCTTACTGATAACCTATCTATTAAGTGGTATGCGTTCGCAGAAATCATCCCTTAGAGACCTGTCATATTTGGCCAAAAAAAGCCCAAAAGCGCCAGAAAGAGCCGGAACGACACCTTTTGCGCGCAATTTTGGCGCTAAGACATGTCTATTGATTCCGCAACCGAGTCATTTTGCTTCATTTTCTCTCGTATGCACATCAAAATAACGTCAGAATTCTACCAATAGTTCCAGGGGTGTTCCGGCTCTTTCTGGCGCTTCTGAGCTTACGGGCGCTTTTCGGCTTTCTTGGGCGTTTTTGGCTTTTTTCGGCAAAGCATGACGGTCCTTTAGAGCTTAAACTCTTCCCCGTTGACTCCCAAGCTCCTCGGCTCTGCTCAGACCCCTGTTTCAGAAAATTGCTTCCGCTTCGGGTCTCTGTCGAACTTTTTTCCCCAAAAAGTATGGAGAGGAAGCAAAATTACCTTTGCGACACTCCTGTGAGCCAGAAGTGAATGAAAAATGCAGGATACAGCGTCGTTCACTTGACGCAGTTCTAAACTCTGAAAAGAGGGAGATCGCTCAAAACCCTGGGATAATTCACAACTGCGATTCTGTGCTTTGCAGCTAATGAGCTAAAAACAATAATAGATGAAAACAAAACGTACCAGACGATACTCCTGCTGTCGGGCATTCATACGACTGACACTCACTGACTGACAGCGAATTCAAGCAAGTACAGCTGTAGGGGTGGCGAGAGCACAGAGACACCAGAGACGGGGGCCGAGGACGCAGAGGCGGCGACGGCGGCGGGGGACGGCCCCGCTGCTCTCTATCGATGGTGCGACCCGGGGCACGGAACAGCTGAGTGCAGTCCTCCGGTGTGGGTGCAGCCGGAGCACGCACGGGTTGATGGTGCTGCTTGGTGCAGGGAACGAAGCTGTTCAGCAAACTTTGGTTTGTCTTAGTTAATTCGTACATAACAAGTTGAGTGACTCAACATTTATTAGTCGTTTATTACTCATCAGTGCTCAAAAAGGAAGTGTTTGCACAGGAACAGAAAAAAAGATTTTTCACGATGCCACCCTTCACATATAGCATGACAAGAACCGATCTCGTCCAGATTCATTCGCACTATGGCACCCGCCATACTTGATCCGCTTAATCCACTTGATCCGCTTGATCCGCTTCGTCAATGGTCGATTCAGTGAATTGAGCAATAGCGAAGCGGTTGTCCGCTTGATCCGCTTGATCCACTTCATTCACTTCACTATTGGTCAGTTCACTGAATTGACCAGTTGAAGTGAATCAAGCGGATGAAGTGGATTAAGCGGATAAAGTATGGCGGGTGCCTATAGTGCACCTTCTAGGTATACCTAGAACATTTCCATACAGGACCAGTCGCACTCGCCGTTCTTTGTGGTGGCCGCGTAGCAGAAGGGGAAAGCAGAGATTTGCAACTTGCCCGGAATTTAGACAAGCCAAGCTAGGGTGGAGGGGGTAGAGGACATTAGGTCGCCGAAAGAGGGCGGTCCCCGCGGTCATTTGCGACAAATACGCACCCTTGTACATACGCGGACATGCGTTCCTGCAGGGAATCCGCGCGGGACTCTTCCAGATTCGGCGACCTAATGTCCTCCACCCGCCAAGCTACGCTAGCCATTTATGATCATTTGTGTCACTGCACACAATGTCCATTTTTGCCGTTTAGACTGGCACACACCTCTCTAGATGAGTTTTTCCGGTACTTTTTTGCTTTCATCCCTTTTTGTGCGCAGATACACTGAAAGTGGTAAGAAAGTGGTAGAAATTAGGTCTTTTGCGTTTTGGCTACCGAGACGAGCATGGCGGAGCGCTCATCGCGTGCGATGACACATATGAATCTATGAAGTGAACTGCAGGTGGTAACTATATGTCGCTGAAAGCGGGAGGTCCCCCGGACATCTGCAGCAAATGCACATTCCGATACATGCACAGGCTAAGTATCTGCTGCATTGTCCGCGCGAACCCTACCACTTTCGACGACATATTCTTTTACCTGACTGTGGGTGGTAATGTATACTCTAATGTGAAGCGACCATCTTGCCATGCGTCCACATGCGCTGCGTGCTGTGTTGCGGTGCAGTGAGCTCCAAGCTCGATCAGGATCTAAATAGACTATAACAACAGCAGCTTTAAATCAGCGTGTAACTGCTGATTACGATTGCCTAACAATTCTCTTCTGGATGCAGATCCTAGGACAATTTCGCACGTTTACTGCCTTGATAGTACGGGTTTTTCCCACTGCACCATCGAAATGGTGCGTCTTGTTTGGTGCGATTTATTGTTGTCCCATCTCTGGTAAGCACAAAATGAGAACTGCGCGGATTTTAGTGGAACTTGATTTCGACACATTGCAAACAAATGAATTTGGTAGGCGCCAGACTAACCGATTGCCTGCTTCAGCAGGACGCGGGGCATTTATCGTCACTTGACGTCACGTTGTAGGGAAATCAATCCGGCATGCGCTATAGAAGAACTTAAATACTGCGAAATGGCCGTTGTCATTGGAGCGTCTTTTCATCTCAGAACTTAGCGCTGTGCTCCATTTTCGTAACATGTGTTCTTTACTTGCTTGAATCGTGGACCTTTCCTCTTTTAGATGTTCTGTACTGTCTCGGTTTTGCTCGTTATTTGTCATTCTGTGATTGTTTCATATTGTTCACCTTCCAGAGTGCAATTCTTGTGGAAAAATGTCCGGTGGAAGCGGTGTTCCTCTGTCGGATCGGCTAAACGTGGAAAAAAACAAGCTGGACGAGAGCATCATAGACTACCGGTATGTTAATTTGTCTTTTTGTCGAAAAAGTGGCAAGATATGACTAGTTCTTGGCGCTGTTGCTCAGTCTATCGGGAGTGTTCACCATGCTGGTCGAAACATTATGCTTTAAAAATGTCATTGGGTGTTTACGATGGTGTACGATGAGAGGCTCAATTAGGAGTTTGTGTTTTCGACTCTCTTTTACATCACCTGGCCACCATTCTCACATGCTAGACTTATGTGATGATGTATGTGATTCAGAGTTCACTTCTTGTGAGAAAGCAATAGTAATTCAAGATAAAAAATGATGTGAAGAAATTGGCCGAATTGAGAAAAGCTATCAAAAGTGCCGCAGATTTCAACAGAGAGTTGCAGACAGTGAAAAAGTATGAACGGCAACACTATTGGGACGCACAAACCTCGGTAATGGCTAAATTTTTTGAAGGGACGGGAGGCAAGAATTGGCCGAAATTTTTTTTCAGATTATTCAGTCAAGTGCCAACAAATGGAAGAAGTTGCCAGCAAAATACACAAAGCCTGATCCGTATCCCGTGGCTCTAATCCATGGGCAATATCAAAACTACTACAGGAAGTATGTCGTTCAGCCGTCTTTTACAAGCTTTTTTCACTGCGAGATGAACTATGCAGATCAAATTATATATGTGACCGTAATTTTTCGTCTTTCGTTGCATGCATCTTCTTTTTGAATTCAAGATTTACTGCTTCGGAATTGCGACGTTTACCTCTGGGAAGCGTGCTTGATGGTGAACGTCTCTTCCCAGTACACCGGGATCCTTCACCTCCACCAATCAATGTATCTGAGAAGGATATGCAAAGTATGCTTGACAGCTGCGATTGTGGCATAGTCAACTCGAAATAATTTAGGGTTTGAGAAGCTTTTAGCTGCTCAGGGAACTCCTATAGCAGCTCCTTCTTCTGGCCAGATCAAAATGGAAATGACTACTCCACGTGCGGAGCCCGCTCGAAAATCTGTGAGTTCTTGAGTTACAATTTTTTTCAAAACCTCTTTTCTTCTCTTTGTAATTTTGAAGCTATTTATATGCTCCCAGTTACATAGGCGGCGCTGCTTGCTGCTCGCCATTTGTTTTTTCTGCAGACTAACTTCCATCAGTTGTTCAATGTAGTGGGCGCCATCTATTCCTACCGTGCTGGCTGCGCGAGCGGTTCGCATGCGGCAGCCGTAATTGGCGTAGGGGCGCGCATTCTTGCATGTGCGCGACAGCATCTTCGATCGCTGTTGATCGTCAGGAGTGCGGATGAAAAGTTACTGGAAAGCAAGTAAAAGAGCACACGGAGTGCAGTGCGCCTGTAGGTAAATAGGTAAATATGTAAGCTATCTATTTGCCGTGGGGTGCATGACTAATTGTTCGTAGAACTTCTATGTTAGCGAAGTATATCGTTTCTTTTCTTTCTTTACGGTTGTTGTTGTGGAAACTCCTCTCTCCCTAAGCTTGTCAAGTCTAGTACAACTCGATCAATCCCTTTTAAAGGAAAACTCGCATCCTCGATGTTTCCCCATCAGAAAATTAAGTTTGATCTCATTGGTCTCATGACTTAGATACATGTGTACAGTTGTAAATGCTATGCAGTGAGTTTTTCTAATCTCTGTCGCTGATATTCAAAGCTCAAACTGCTTAGAAAGTACTGAAAATTGACGATTTCCGTCAGTTGCAATAGATGCGAACTTTACTACTGGCCGCTTTTCTGATAACAAAGGGAAAAGAGTTGGGATTCCTGAAGATGGGAAGTCGTACTACTTGAGTTGTAATGCGATGTATGCAAACACTTCACTTAGTGAATGGATTGTAAAATTCGGGCAAGAACGTGAGATCTTTGGAATGGGGACTTGTGCAGAGAACCATTGGATGACCATGGTTGTTTGATGCTGGTAGGTTTTGCAGCAATGTCGATACATCTAGATCACTTCAATTATATACTTGTTCACATATCTAGCCTCAGACAGCGGATGGAGATCTTAACCCGCTATTGCCAAAGTACGATGTAAATGCTGTGAGAATTTAACAGGAGGGGAACGCCAAGTCCACGCCTCCAAGTCCCAATCTAGCATGCATATCGCGAATGCCGTCAAGAATGCTTTACGATCAGATGTTTATGGAGGCAATTCTTCATCTCCTTCATTACCGCCATGATAAGATCGAATATGATTTTGAACATCCTCAAATCGTTGCACCCACACAGCTTCAGGGAAAGTCAGCTTAAACTTTAAGGGGTCATGGTCAGTGCATAAAACATATTCAAAACTTTCAGTCTCTATCTACATAAAAAACCAATGATTCAGAGAATAATCTACTTAGGCCTTGTAGGGAGTTGTCTGATATCACGTCATAAAGCTTAGTCAAGTAGCGTACACCAATAAAACGAAACCAACGTCTTCATCAATATTTCATTTGCTCCTTCTACAATGATTAAAGGGCGCAAAAGTCTTCAGTGACAGTTTGATGCCATGAGAACAAAGTCCAGGAGGGAATGCGCGCCCTTACGCCAATCACGGCTACCGCACGCGAACCGCTCGCGCAGCCAGCCCGGTAGGAATAGATGGCGCCAATGTAGTGTCGGTTTTATCGATATGTCAATCCTGACTGTTTAGGCTCGAGCCAGTGCAAAAGAGTTGCGTACACAGAAGACGATGATGATGAACTGTTGAGTTGAATCGCACGTCGAATCGTACCTGTAGTCAATTATGTCGATGTTTTTGGCCGTGATTCGAGCGAGACCGTAATCTTTGGTCCAGAGCACTTCCTTCAATCTCTGTCGATATGAACTCACGTCTTCATCCTCGTTTTTTTGTTCCTCTCCTGCATCGACTAAATTCTCAAACAGCCACAGTCCTCTATAATGTAGAATCTCATATTACCTTTACAGTTTCGGTGCATGTGTATGTAGCTGCTCAAAAATAAACATTGTCATCGTTGCTTTGTCTACATGTTTTTGCATAAGTTCAGAGTGGATCGTCAGTGCGTAATAGCCATCGAGTCAGTGCTAAATCTATCCTGACACCGCAAAAATGTAGTTCCTGTGATGAAGTCCGGAAGCCAGGCGAAGTTTTTATACGGTACGTTCATTGTACGCAAGAAGAAGAAAACACAGCTCTCGCTATTGAGAAAAGAAGCTTGAGCAAAGCAAAAAATAATCCCCGTTTTTGAGAAAAATCGCAGTGCAGACAAGGGGATTAATTGATGTGGCTTGATACGTTGCGATACTCAAACGTTTGATATAAAGTGAAAAAATTGAAAGTAGAAAAAATTAAGAGTTAACAAGTAAAGAGATTGAAATGATCAACAATCCTTGGGTCGCATCCTTTACAGTGCTTGTGAAGTGCTGCGGCGTTTGGCCCTATGTATTTGCAGTCCTTTTCAATGCACGCAAAGTAAGCTAGATCCGGCTCCAAATCGCCTCCGTTCATTTCATGCCTAAAGGATTGAGCTGAGAGAGCTAGGAAATCTTTGTAACAGAAACACCAACACTGCGGTGCGTCCAGCAGCATTTGTTGTAACCATCAAAGACTGCGGCAATATGCTGGATTCACTCGTTGATGGGAAACTAGAAAGAAAAAACGCTGAACGAAAGATACTCTAATAACCTTTTGAGATAGATAAACACAAAGTTTTGAAGATGAAGGGAATACAAATACAAACTGGGCGCTGTTCCATATCAGGGCCCCAATATCCAAGGAGTATATTTCGCCCAAACTCAGTCCATGGGGGGTCATTGCCTATTGACCACGAATATCGCACTCTTTTTTGCACAACATCATCAGTTACGATGGGGACGCTGGGGGCTCAAAACTACGATTTGGCTAATTCTTGTCTGGGAGGGTTGTTCGACATTATCATGGATTACAGTCGAGTAGATTTCCTGCTTAATATAGTGTCCCTGCAGACGCGACAACGCTGGGGCGTCAATAATTGCCTGACGAGTTCCCTAGCTAGGGTTTTCCAGGTTTTTCTTTGCTTATTTCATGCTTTTTTTGTTGATTCGTTGCTGATAAAGAGGAAAAGGGTAACTTAGAAAGCAGTTTCTGTTTTCTGAGAAGTTCTATCATCGCATATTCACAGATATCCACGTGGAAGCATTTCGTGTCAGCTTCTTATCTATTTTTTTGTCATTTCTTTCTCTTCTGTTTCTCTTCTTCTTCTTTCAAACCTCCTCCTTCTTGTAAAGCGTTTCTTTGAACGCTAGTTGGCTTGTCTTGCAGCAACTTCTGCTTTCATCCATAAGAAATAGCATTTTAATCAAGTATTTTATGTGATAAAGACAATAAGTCAATCGCAAAAACCCACTAGCGTTCAAAGAAGTATCTCACAAGAAGAAAGAGACATGAAGTAACAAAAACAAATAGACAAGAAGCTGACGCGAACTGCTTCCACGTGGATATCTTTGAATATGCGATGATAGAACTTCTCAGAAAACAGAAACTACTCTCTAACTTACCCTTTTCTTCTTTATCAGCAACGAATCACCTAAAAAGCATGAAATAAGCAAAGAAAAACCTGGAAAACACTAGCTCTGGAACTCGTCAGGCAATTATTGACGCCCCAGCGTTGTCGCGTCTGCAGGGACACCATATTAAGCAGGAAATCTACTCGACTGTACGTTTTCTGCTCAACCACGTCATCCTTGGTGGTGACCGTAACTTTACCGTATGCAATGAAGTCAGAAACTTGGACAAAATAACAACGACAAAGTTTTGAACAAAAATTCCGGAATATCGAGTTTTGATTACAACCGAGTTTCAGCAGTGATAAGCCGAAATTCGGCGAGTACATTCAACTTGCTTTTTTTCAGCAACGTTGTTTTGCAAAAAGGATAAAACAAGTCTAGCATGTGAGAATGGTGGTCAGGTGATGTAAAAGAGAGTCGAAAACACAAACTCCTAATTGAGCCTCTCATCGTACACCATCGTAAACACCCAATGACATTTTTAAAGCATAATGTTTCGACCAGCATGGTGAACACTCCCGATAGACTGAGCAACAGCGCCAAGAACTAGTCATATCTTGCCACTTTTTCGACAAAAAGACAAATTAACAAATTACCGGTAGTCTATGATGCTCTCGTCCAGCTTGTTTTTTTCCACGTTTAGCCGATCCGACAGAGGAACACCGCTTCCACCGGACATTTTTCCACAAGAATTGCACTCTGGAAGGTGAACAATATGAAACAATCACAGAATGACAAATAACGAGCAAAACCGAGACAGTACAGAACATCTAAAAGAGGAAAGGTCCACGATTCAAGCAAGTAAAGAACACATGTTACGAAAATGGAGCACAGCGCTAAGTTCTGAGATGAAAAGGCGCTCCAATGACAACGGCCATTTCGCAGTATTTAAGTTCTTCTATGCGCTATTTCCCCACAACAAAAGTTTTTCGCTGGTAGGGCGTTCTTATCATTCTCTTATTGCGAGGCTTTTTTATCATCTCTTCAAATCTACAGTTACTGCGAGCATCGCAGACGCCACTTGGATTTCCGTCCAACATGACGCCAAATGACATCAGCTTATTAGTTGCGCCGAGTCCTGCTGAAGCAGGCAATCGGTTATCTGGCGCCTACCTTTTCTAGAAATAGTTCCTCTATTCTTGATGTTTTCTAAGCGCCTAAAACCGAAGGTAAAATGGAGATACCAATTGACTCAACTGCGCTATTAAAACTTGAGTGTTCCATGTCAAGAATTTTGAAATTGCGTGAATGTTTTTCACTGTTTCGCCTCTGTAGCGGTACTGATTGTGATATTGCAACCATATATCTTTTTTTGTTTGCTTTTTAAAGAATTTTGCATACGAAGGACTTCCAAACTGTAGTGTTTTTTCTTGCTTTCTCAAACATAGTTTATCAGCCTTCCTATTTCCAACAACAAAAATCCATGAAATGATAGCAAAAAGTTATTTGTATTTAGAGAAAACATTCTTCTGGGGACAGGTTGAGGCCTGTCGCCTCCATTTACGATTATGTTGAGTTTTAAACCAAAAATAAGGCAATGGAAATTTTCTGGAAACCGTTCTTCACTCCCGAGAAAAGTGGAATTCTGGTATGAAAAGTGAGCCTTCTACGCTCCCAAGAAAAGTGGAACTCTGAAAATGTGAAATGAGAACTTATCTAGCACAAGGACTGGTCTGGAACGAAATGCATTTGGATATCTATGCACATTTTTTTTGAAACGAGTGGCAAAATTGTTGAGAAAAGTAGCACAGGGTAAAAAATGATTTTACCCATGGGTAGAGTGGTAATTCATATTTCCAAAGAGTGTAAGTCTGTGCCAGAAGACGAGCATGAAAGCACCATTTGCTAAAGGGCCGGCATACTTCACGCGATTTGGCAGTTCGCCAGAAGTTTTCAGATCCAACACTAGCAAACTGCACATGCATAGTGTGTATAACTTACGTGGGTTAATAAAGTGCCTTATCTTCCGTACATTTAGAATGTGCTTACAGTGAGTTATGGACATTGGAATATCGCCAAATCGCGTCGCGACTGAAATCGCGTGAAGTATGCCCGACCCTTGACTAAGTGCTATCTGCAGACCGCTCAAGGGGCTAAAACGTTCACTGCAGTTGTCTCTTCAATACTAACAATAAGAGGAAGACTAGAAGTAAATACCTATCTACCGTACCACTAGATAGTTAATCATTGTGATGTGGTTGAATAAGCTAGTTTACCCCACACTTTAACCTACGGAGCAATGGAAAGCCTATAGATTAGATAGAGAATAGTTGAAGAGTTTGTCGGTGCGGCTTCTTTTTTCTAATAAACATCACTTTGTGTCGGAGATGTGCTTGAATGATTTCTGGATTTTTATCGAGACTGGGTTGCGAATGGTTCTAGTGGTTATCGTATGCTAAGATTTCTCATCTTTCGGAGGAGCACATTAATAAGATGCTCCTACTATACATGCATCGACAGATTTCCTAGAAACTACAAATTTGGACCGAATGCCAAAGTTAAGTTTTTAAAGTTCTTGGTAGTCGACACTTAATTGACCCCGCCAACTTTTCCAGTTGCTTGGATTGTTTTGTTTAGCTTTTTAGGAACGCATACAAAGAAACTCTATGATCAGACAATTCTCGTGAGACATTCAGAAGTTTTCAAGTTTGATTCTGCCGTTAACCTGAGATTATTAGAATGTGGTGGATAGGGGTGAGAGATAAGGAAACTGCAAAAAGGTGAATCAAAAACGAGATGGACGAAGATGATGTGAATCAACGAGATGGTGTGAATCAAAAATCGATGGATGTGTGAGATATTTGTATGAGCACGATCACACTGGAAAAAAAGGAAATTTACTAAAAAAAATCCCTTTGCCAAATAAAGCAGATTGAATTTGTCTTGTGCACTTGCTACTAATGTTCATCTTGGTTTGAACATTCACGTCTCCGAAATTAGTTGAAGCAAAAAATTGCAACAGAAAAAGAATGAAAGGAGACAGTGGTGACCTTCACAATTCATTGATTACAACATTGAAACAATCTTCATCTCATCTAGAGCAAATTCGAGCTTGAATTGACACGTGTCGCTCTAGCTTGCCACGCGGGACTTTGAGGACGTGCGCGAGTCGGTTCGAGTGTCACCTCAAACTTGGGTAATTAAACCTTTATTAAGACTAACAAATAACAAATAATGCGCAAAGGTGCTAAACTAAATCCTACAACTATTCTAGGTACAATTACATGATAAATGTTACTGTGACTGTGACTGTGACTGTGACTACCTACAGACGGTGTAGTGCGGAGAACCTATCGTGCAATGAGTCGTGCAGAGAAAAGGCTTAACTAATACAAGGCAAAAAGGAACAGTGAGCCATCTCTAACTGCTAGCTTATATACAGCAAACACATAAACATATACATCAAATACATAAACATAATACAAAGAATGTCTGTGAAGCAAAGAGATAAAGCCTTGTTCTCATAACAACTATCACACACATTAGCTATCTGTGATTCTGTGATTCTGTGATTCTGTGATTTGCGTTGATTCTCCGCATTCCTGTGAAGATACTGACTCACGAGTCAGTATACTCCGGCCTCAGCAATAGAAGTCGGGGGGACCTCGCGGTGTAGTAGGCCGTGACTGATAATCTGGTGTCCGCTTCTCTTCTTGTGCTCGTGCTGATGCGCTGCGTCTCCACGAGTTCATGAGTTCCTCCTTGCACCTGTCAATCCTTCTGAGGAGATCCTTCCTTAGCTGAACCTTCCGAGTATACTCCTCGGGCTTGGTGCAGATGCTTGCGTGGTGCTCACGGTGCTCTGATGGTGGCGCCGATGGGTCAGCTCTCTTGCAGTAGAAGCAGATTGGGCGTTTCCTGCAGCTTAACGCGTCGTGCAGTTCGATACAGTTTAGGCATCGTCCTTCCTCGCGCAGGATTTCCAGTCTTTCGGCCACACTTCTTATCCTTGGACATGCATCAGAATAGTGCTTCCCAAACACCTTGCAGTAGACGCACATGAGGAGTGATTCGTTGTCCTTCATTTCTCGATCTCCGAAGCGTCTTTCGATTCCTCCGCAGTTGGATAAGAAGTGTTCTACGTCACTTAACTCCCTTTCGCTCTGATCCAGGAGTCTCTGAAGGTTGGCTTGTTGCCGGTCAGACTCCGATACGGGACTTTCATGCCGTCTCTTGGAACCTGTTCTCGTGCAACCAGAATGTGACGTGCGGTCTTCTTCTTCTCCTTGCTGGGCATGATGTTGTCCTTTATCTTGGTGCCGTCTCCTGTCCGGATCTTCGTTGGTGGACATCGTGCTGCTAATGGAGGACTCCATCTTGTCCAGCCAGCTTCTGATGCTCTTACTCTGTGATTTGAGCTCGTGCTTCCGACTTTCAGCCTCCTCGCTGACTTGGCCAGAAAGGTGTTGTAACTGTGCTGTAATGTCTTCTATCTGGTGCATTGTGCTTTCCTGTTGTCTCTTGACATCTTCGCGAAGTGAGCGAAATCCGTCTTTCATTTCGCGGGTGACCAGTCCTTCGAAGTGCTGATGCATGGCTTGCATCCACTCCCGTGTTTCGTGCTGCTGCTTTTTGACGTCGTCCTGCAAATCCATAAAGGCGTTTCTCATCTCACGAAGAGTTTTGTCTTCTGCGGCTGTGTTCCGTTTGAATTCGCATTCTGCTTCTTCTACCGCTGCCTTTTCTTCTTTCAAGAGAAGGTCGTAAAGACCTAACAGGTTGTGCACAATGCTGCAGACTCGATCCTTCGTGTAATTGCGCCGAGTCTGCCTGGGTTCGGGATAGCCTTCGTCTCCCGGCTCCGTCGTCTCGTAGAAGACTTCGGCTGATAGCTCATTAATGTAGGCCAGTCGTTCAAGCTCGTTCGCTTCGTTCATTGCCACCAAGACTTCGTACCACTCGTGCGCTAACACGAACTGGTCTCTCATGACTGTGAGATTCGTGCGTTCTTCTTTGTGCTCCATGTAGAGTTGCTTTATCTTCAGAAGATAGTGCAACGCTCCACCTCTGACAATGATCATATCCCATCTGTCCATCATAAGAGAAACAAATCGTGCTTTGGCGTGCTTGTGTAGACTTTCAAACTCATAGCATTTGGCCGCGTAAAATTTGAGTTTCTGCCGGACGATGCTTTCCGTGGGACGAGCCGGTGAACTCTCGACCATTCTTATCTTCCGTGCGAACTCTTGCCTTAGTTTCTCCTCCATAAATCTGCGCTCTTCTTCCGTGAACTTGTCCATTATCTGTAACAATAATTGAGTGATTAGATGCCGGATTTTGGTTTCTACTCAAGTAGTTGTTATCAATTCTTTTCCATCCCCGTAGGTTTAGTCAAGCACGGTGTGATCGCCGCCGCGAATATTGCGATGTTTTGATTCGGAGCTTTGCCGCTCATTACACCTGCTTTTTTTTGCCGTATTTCATGCTTCTTGCCGTTTCTTGTTTTATATTGATTGTTTTTTCTCTTTTAATGTTTATGGCTTTCACATCAGCTATAAGGTGATCCTCCCTCTTTATTTTATCCTGTCCCTTTGGTGGTAGAAAAGAGATGTCTTTCTGAGAGCCAACAAGGGTTTGTCGTGCTTTTGACTGACCTCGCCGGCAGATTTGCATGATGTTTTGTCTCATGTTTTCTGTGTCCGACTAAGTTATTTTCTATTGAATCTGGAGTTTAGTGCTCGTGCTATTGTGCCTGTCGTGGATTCATGCGCATCAGAGAATTTTCTGCCGTGGTTTCTTCCCTCGTTGTTTTCGAAGAGATTTGAGCAGCGTGCGCAATATCCACCCCACTAGACAGACGCATAACTTGCACAAGCAGTAGCCAAGTCGGAAAATGATTCTGATCACTGTGCAAAATACCATGTTCGTGATGCAAGTGTATGTCATCAGCAATGCGAGCGCCACTAGTGCAATGGTGATCACTAGTGTATAGCCCCAGTTGCGAAATACTTCGAATATATGTCCAAAGTCTGGAAGATTTATTTCCGAGAAGATTTCACTTTCTCCTTTCAAGATGCGTCGCGTCGCTTCGTGTAGGTTTCCCGTGTAGTGTAGAATTCCTGCAATCTCAAAGGAGTTAACCGTTGTCCCACATTTGATAGTACATTTTCTGTGGAACTGGGCCTTTTGACTTATGAAGCTTATATTTGTTTGTGTACCTTCCTGTGAGCACAAAACCGTAAATGCATCGTCGCCGCATTCTATTTCTGCCCGTGCTGCAGGTGTTGAGGAAATGCATGTGATTAGGGCTTTGGCTCCCTTTGTGCATTTATAGCACCCTGTGCAATGGGCATTTTTACTTGTGCATACCGCTTCTGATCGTACTGAAGTCGTGCTAAATTTCCCTTTGATGCGTAGTAGGAATTCCGCTGTTGGTAGCTGTGGTATTTTTGAAGTTATCGTTCCGTTCATTTCCTGGAATTCAAGGTTGGGTCGCAATGTAGGCAATCTATACCGTGGTTCCCGAATATGTGATGTGAGGTTGCCCTCCTTGCAGTCGCAGCGCATTTTCGACTCTGCTGGTGTACAGGTGCATTCCTCTCTCACCTCGCAGGTAAGGTTTCGTGCCTCTTCTTGTGAATTACATGTTAGAGGTGGCTGGTAGTCCGTTGGAGCCAGTGCGAAGAGTTTACCATCCGTGAGAAAGGCTGTGTTTAGCAGAGGTGTTGGTGGAGTGCTGATCGATGAAAGAGTAATTGCAAATATCGAAAGTATACTGGGTTGATTTGGAACAAGACGAATGTCGTGAAGTTGTGTTGGCTTTCCTTCTTCGCTAATAGAGAGTTGTAGGTTTACTACCTGTTTCCATCTTCCACATCTGAAGATCTCATACACCTCCTCATCGTTTGGTATGAGATAAATCCTGTAAAATAAGCACCCGGAACTGGGGTAAAAGCAGTCACAACCCGGTCCGCCGCAGCTTTCTACGCATCCGGTTACGCCTGGGTAGTAATTTGCTTTGTGTAGTTCTGGGATTTGAGATGTTCGCGTGATACTTCCACATTTATCTCCTACGCATGATCCTGCATGTGGACATCGTTTGCTGTCCAATAGTGCATACTGCGTGCTTCTAGTGAACAGTATCGTTTGTTTTTCGCAGATCAGATTGAGGCTTTTCCAAAGTAGTTTTACTTCTAGGATGTTGTTGTTCTTGCCTTTCAATCTGATGCAGGCTTCTTGCTTAAAAGGGTTGATTTTGAGAATCTCCGTTGTATCAATCGTGCAATAATGGCCTCGTTTTGAGCGATAGCAGGATCTGCTTTGGTGCGTAAAGACATCTACGTCTTGACACGCTTGCAGTATTGTGCTCACGCTTAGTGCCATGAGTATTGCACTTCTAGAGAACGAAATCCTTCGACGTCTGTGATGGGCTGGTGCCAATATCTTTGCCATCGTGTTCCATACTGTTTTAACCGATAATCGTACACACAATACAACTATCTTCAAAAGGTACAGTAATGGAGCTCCAATCAATACTGGCACATGAAATACGCAGTAACATATGGAAATTGCTGCGTAAGCTGCAATTCCTGTTACAAGAATGGCTGTTCGTGGCCAACATTCCGGGTTGGTCATCATTGCCGTGCAGAAGGTGCAGGTAAGTTGTTCACAGAACTGTGCTGCTTTACAACTCGTTTCCACTATGTTTACTTCTCGTCCGTCAAAGGTTTTCCACTTCACTAAGTGCTCGTGCAGCGTGATTTGTGCGGGGAATCTTACCGTTTCTATTCGTTGCGGTTGGCGGAATTCGATGCAGTAGTCCTCCGCGCAAATCTCATACTGATGTGGTTCTTCTTGTGTTAGGATTACTCCTCCGTCAATGCATTGAAGATGACGTGTTATGTTGCTGCCGCCTAAGCAGACCTGCGCACATATTGTTAGGAGTAAGACTGTTAAAAGGTGGGCATTGTGTCTGAAGAGGCTTGGCAGGCAATTGAGGCTGGTACCTTCGTCCTTTGCTTCGGTGTAATCAACCTTCTTCCTTGGGCGCAAATTGTACCCCGTTTGTGGTGTATTTTCCTGCGAAGTGGATGTTTCTCTTCGCGGGCTGGATGTTTCTTCTTGATCCTGTCCAAGCTCCAGTGGTACTATGCGATTGATGGGGCGTCTGAGCTTATATTTGTTAGGTGTTTCTAGCACAACTTCTCGTCCTGCGCCTGGTGCGTCTTGAAATTCAATTATTCTTGCCATTTTCCATGTGTTTCTTGGTTGCACTGACTCCCACATGAGTACCACATCTCCTTTCTTCGGCTTTGTGGTAGTTCCTCTTTTTTCGTCGATGTGTATTCTGTGAAATTCCCTCAGATTTGTAAGATACTGTGTGCTCCAAATCTTCCAGAATTTTTCCGTTAAATTGACTGATGACTTCAGTGCTTCCTCTGCCTGATGTTGTGTGGCCATTTGTTGTGCTTCTTCTGGAGTATGGTAGGTCCTATCCTTTCCGTTTCCTCCTATGTTTTGCAGGGGAAAGTGCAGTATGATATCGTTTTGCAAGAAGTCTATGGGCCGGAGAATAGGTTGATCTTCCCATTTCTCTTCTTGATATGTAAGCGGTCGTGAATTTAGCACTGCCTCGATTTCTGCTAATATTGTTCTTAGTGCATCAAATGTCACGATTCGTACTCCAAGTGTTTTGTGCAACGAGTCTTTGATGGAGCGAATTAGCCGTTCGTAAAAACCACCCTGCCACGGTGCGTACGGTGTTATGTGCTTCCATCGAATTTCTCGTTGTGCAAGATCGCTTTGGAGATCCGTGCTGTTTTCCGCGTTGTTTATTGCATCGTGCAATATTTGCTCTCCCAGCAGAAAGGTAGGTGCGTTATCGCACGTTATCGTTTCAGGTACTCCTCTTCGTGCGAAAAATCGTCGAAGAGCATTTACAAATGCTTCTGTAGACATGTCCTCCACCAACTCCAAGTGTATGAGGCGTGTTGTCTGGCACGTGAGTATACATCCATAAGCCTTCGATCTTTTTTGTGCTTCTTCGTTTTCTTTTTGTTCTTTATTTTTCTTTTCTTCTTCGGTTCCATTTGATTCCATATTTTGTTTTCGTGGTTGGTGCATGTTCTTGATCATCAAGGGTCCGAAGTAGTCCAGTCCTATGTGTTGAAAGGGTTTTGATCTTCTCACTCTAGTCGAAGGTACTGCCTTCGTTTCGGGATAGGTGAAGGGCAGATTGTTTATTTTTTGGCATGGTACGCATCTTCTAATTACCACTTGCGTTTGTCGCCGAAGCTTGGGAATCCAATATTTTTCCCGTACTGTTGCCATTGTATGAGCGAGTCCTTTGTGGTAATAGTCGTGCGCTTCTGATATTATGAGCCTAGCTAATGTTGTGTTTGGTGCAATGAAAATTGGGGTTTTAGCTGTATTGGCGATGTCGGCTTCTTGAAGGCGTCCGTAACATCGCAGTAATCCTCTCTCGTCTTTGTGAATGTTCAAATCCTTTTGGGATTTGATGCGGTCGTCATGCACGAATTCCCTTTGATGATCCATTATTATGGCGATTCTTGCTTCGTGCATTTCGGCTCCTGTAAGTTCGTGCAATGTTGATATTTCGCTGAGAGCTTGGATGTTTTGATAAATTTGTTCTTTCCGTAGCTCTGGTAGGTGACTGATCGCTCTTTTCACAAATCGCAGAACGTAAACCACAACTCTCTGTGCCTTGTGCAAGGAATGAAATCGATCTAAGTCAAGCAGCGAATTCTTTGTTGCTTTTGTTTTCGGCGTCACTTGTGATGTCGCCAGCACTACTTCGTCTGCATCCCTCACATTACCAAACGGCGTGAGATTGCTACAGTCGTGCTCGTGCATCAAATTTGGGCCTTGCCACCAAAGGTAATCTTGTAGGGCGTTTGATGTCAAGCCTCTAGTTCCGCAATCCGCTGGATTCTCCACGGTGCGCACATGTCCAAAAAGACAGTGTACGTGTTGTTCCTCCAAATCGTTGACAATTCTTCCTATTTCCTGTAGGCGATTTGCTATCAGCACTCCCACGCTTTGGCGTGATGGGGACGATTTTATCCATCCCAGGACAATCTCCGAATCTGTGAACAGGATGATCTCTTCGATCTTGCACAATGGTTGTAATGCATTGTGCAAGAAGAAGGCCATTCTCATGCCTAGTGTTAGTGCATTCATCTCCAGTTTGGGTATTGTCATCGATGTTTTGAGGGAAGGAAGTTTGGATTTTGCCATTATTAACTGTGACTGCTTTCCCCAAGCTAGGTATGCGCATGAG